GGCTTTAAAATGGTGTTTAGAGGACTTAATTTTGTCAAACCAAGAGGTTACTTGGTAAAGGGGGAAAGGCATCAATAAAAAACAAATACTTTTATCTTAATCAGCTCCAGGTTTGCCATAGGGCTGGAAGGGGACAAAAGTGATTCATTAGAAAAACCTCTATTATGACAGAACCAATCATTCATTCAACCAATTATAACTAAGCCTGTCATGGTGCTTTACCTGAGGAGAACTGAGGTGAGCCAAAGAGACCTGCTTTCAGGGAGTTTATAGCATACCAGGAAATAATAACAAAAATAAGTGTATAGTTACTCGTTGAGGAAAAAGAATGTGTTACTCGTTCTCTACAAGCCCAGTTCCCACAGAAGACAATAGTTTCTGAGACAACACAAGCTGTTGCCTGTTCTAATCCCGGCTCCTCCATTTCCTAACTAGGAGACCTCAGACAGGTGACTTGACCTCCTTATGTCCAATTCCCCACTGTCCCGTGCTGATGCCGGTAACAGCACCACCTCATAAGGTTGTGTGAGTTAAACCACAAAGAGCATCAGAACAGAAAGAGTTAAGTGTTCAAAAATATTAGCTACTACTGTTATCATTAATAGTCCTAATATTCCTAACCTGTGAACAGAAACAAATTTTTTCCAGTTATTCAAACATGGTACAAAACTTATTTAAAAACCAAACTGCTTTCCCCATTAAAAAGACTACACACATACACTTGTAGCCCGCTCTATCCTGAGGTGGGTATCTCGGACACAAAACTGTGTCCCGGACATGAAGTACACACTCCGTTCAGTTACATGTAAAAGTTCAGAACTTTCCAGAAAAGCAGAATTATGTCTATGATAGCACAACAAAAATCAAGTTTTTGTGAGCGATAATACTTACTAGTCTCACACACTTAGCCTAGAATTCTTGGTGTTCTAAGACTAAGATTTTGCCATTACCAGTTGGGATACTGATAACTGAATGAGATGCAAAAGGGAAACAACAGATTTAACCAGACAGAACAAAGGAAGACAAAACTCTTGTAACCGGAGTGACATTAAAAAGAAAAGGAAGTCAGTGATCATCTTTTGTAAATAATACAAATTTGCAAATGTGCATGTGATCACACAGGAGGAGTTTCACCTATTTAAAATAAATTTATTTTTCTGCCCCAACCCAAGGTAATGGCTGTTATTCAGGTTAGTTATCAGCCGGGCTCAAAAAACTACTTGGCGAACCCAAGAAAACACAATTTGCAACTCTGTCACAATGTTGTGTAATCCTGAGAGAGTCCTACTGTTTTCTCTAGGTTCACTTCCACATTTTACAGCCAACTTCAAGAAACTAGCATCATCCTGATTCTGAACAATATTAGGTGCTGTAACTACAGTGCTTAAAAATTACTTACAAATAACTGACCTCCCTGAAGAGCAGGATGCCTGAAGAGAAAATAAACAGGAAAATCAAAATTCGAACAATGATACAACAACTAATAATTACAGAGAATTTACTCTATGCCAGGCACTGTGTACTTTACGTGTTAGCTCACTTCATCTTCCAAAGCTGCCTAGGCGGTACGTTCTATTATCACTCCCATTACTCACAGAATGAAACTGAAGCTCAATGAAGTTAAGTGGCTTGTCCCAGGGGATCCATCCAATGGCAGAACTCGGGCAATCGGGCAATCTCACTACAGGCGCCAAGCTCTTCGTCGTTACCCAAACCTGTCTCCCCAGCTTTGCCACTAACTAGCTATATGAACTTGGGCAAGTCATGCCTATCCCCTTGGGCCTCAGTTTCTCTAACTGAAAATGAGAGACGTGTCCTAGAGGTTTACGACTGCGACCCGGTCCCAAGTGCTGGGAGACCACACGTTACGTGGGGGGAGGGGAAAAGGTGGAGGTTTGGGACGCTGTCGCAGCCCAGGATTCCGCCTCGGGTTCGCTCCAGGAAGGGCCTTCAGGACTCTCACCCCAGTCCCTTTTTCAGTACCGTGTTTCGAGTGACGCGCTCCGCGGTACAGGGAAGCCGTGCACCCAACAGGCACTCAGTAAAGGTGCGCCGAGCCCGCCCCGCGCGGCAACCCTGACCCGAGCCCCGCGGAGTTACCCGTCCATTACATCCAGGTGCAAATAATCGGCCCCAGAGTCCAGCATCCGGAGACACTCGGCCCCTAAATTGGCCAAATCGCTGTTAAGGATGGACGGGCCAATCTTGCAGCCAGACGCCATGGTGCTGATTCCCAAGAGCAAGTTACCCACGAGTCCCCCGGTAAGGCAAAAGTGTTGCCCCGATTGGCTGCGCAGTTTTAGCCCCTTCCCGGTAGAGTCTTCCGGACTCTACCGGAAGCAGCTGCCCGCGGGGAGGAAGTCCCGCCTCCCCGGGGGGTCGGGGCTGTCCGCCCAGGGGTTTGGGGGCGGGGCCTCGCCTGCAGGCCTGTTCTTTCTTTGACCTTCCTTCTGGTAATATAAGCGTTTTAGATTTCCCAGTCCTCACAGAATTCGAGGAGTTTGTAAATTTTTTGATTTACATCCTCTGCAGTTCCCTTTCCCTAGCTCTTGTTCTCACTTCACTTTTTGCTTCCCTGTAGTTTGCATCTGCACTGCTTTCCTCTCCTCTCCAGCTCTTGTGCTTGCCTTTAAAAAAACACAACAAAGGGGCGCCTGGGTGGCTCAGTAGGTTAAGCATCTACCTTCTTAAGGTCATGATCCCAGGTTCCAGCCCAGAGTTTGGGCTCCCTGCTCAGCCAGAGGTCTGCTTCTCCCTCGGCCTCCCCATCCCCCACAGGGTTGTGCTCTCTCGCTCACGATCTCTGATAAATAAAATCCTTTCTTCTCATCTCCGTCCCCTTGAACTCCTCTGAAGAGGGGAAGGAGTCAGATTTAGGGCAGAGTCCTCTCCCTTCCAAGTACTAACTAGGTACCCTGGCAGTCACTTCCTCTCTGCCTCCTAATTCTCATCTGTTAGGATCCTCCCAGTCTATAGGTTGTTATAAGGATTAGATATGTGAATCCAGGTAAGGCAGCCAGCTTGTGATATCGTGCTCGGTACAAAACGTGGTGGTTATTATTACTATTCTTCGGGCTTCCAGCCCTCATCCTTACCTTCTGTTTTTCCCTCTCAGTAATTCGGTGACAAATTCTAATACATTTATTTACTATCCAGACACAATCTGGAAGAGGGTAAGAGTGTCTGTTTCTCTGATAAATGTGTCTAGGGTCATTGAGTCAGGGCCAGACGAAATTAAACCACATGAGGGGGAGAAAAAAAGGATTTAGCAAGAGCATAGCTTAGATTGTAGGGAATGGGCACTTCTACTCTATACAAAAGCCAGCTGATGGTAACTTGGCTTCCATGCTGGTTCTGGCCACATTCAGAGGGCAACCAGTTCGCTCACGTTCCTCCCGGGAAATCTACCAGTTATTCCAGCAGGTCACAATCTGATCAGAGAAATCAAGCTGGGTACCCATTTTCCCAAGTGGCCCATCCTGCTTTATTTGAAAGGATATTGGTGGAAAGCTTGAGTAAAATGGAGCTCCACCGGAGCTGGAGGGAAGAAATGGAGAGTGTCTAAGTGAAAGGTGACTTCGAGCCAGACTGTGGGGGTTAAAAAGAGACAACAACGCACACCCACGCAAACTGAACACTTTTCTGAATGAGCTAACCTATTCCCTATGTCGAGAAATGAGAAATGAAACTTAATTAGGCATCTTGAATGTTTTTAGCTTTATTTTATTATATGTGCATATTCAAACACAGAGGTCTTAATATCTTTCATAAACGTTTCAGTATTTATTCATATGCATTTTTTTCCATGCTCTTTGGTCATTCAGTATTCATAACAGACTTCAAAGTCATCTGAGGGAAGTTGGCTGTGTAATCAATCTTTCGTTTTCCTATAAAATGGCTAATAAAGGATTTGCATCCTGCAGTCACAGTGGCTATTGAAAAATATGGAGGTACATTGATCTGTAATGCTAAACGATCCTGAAATAATATAAGCAAATTTGTCGTAAGCTTTTCCAAATACATTCTGCCCTTGTTTTTATTGTCCTGAGTGTCAAACCAAACTTTGTTTCTGAAATGCTGCAGTTTAGACCCACTAAAGTAATGAGGAAGTGGGACTTTCTGCTCACTGCCAAGACAAGGCCATGGAATTGGAAGTGTGAGGTCATAGGGCAACAGCATAACTCGGTGTGATAGCAGCAAATTCCAGAGACTTCATTAAGTATCCTGTATAACTTGAGGAAGGGTATTTAATTTGCATTTTGGACTATAATTCCATTTATCACCCCTTTTTCCCTGTTGGTCCCTTTAAATATCCTTGTCTCATCTTAGATGGGCTTAGAGCTAGGCAGCAGAGTGAAGAATGTTCTTCACTGACTAAAGGGACAGATACTAAAGAAAGGAGGAGATGTCACCCAGCCTAATGTTCTCTTGCAGGCCTGAAAGAGCAAGCCAGTTAGTACCAGCCTATACAACGGGCCCTAACCAGACAGCCAAACACCATACACTTGTTTTTTTTTACCTTCACTATTGTCATGCCCAATTATGCCTTTTGATACTGTGGTTCTCAGTGACTTGTCCCAATGCACTCAATTACTCAGTTTCCTTTTTGGAAAAAAAATCAAATAACTTATCTAATAGAATTATAAAAAGCAGCAAATACTGAAAAAGGAAAGTAAAATGTTTTGTTATAGAAAATGCTGTATCCAGGATTTGAACTGCTTTAATTGAATCCAAGTAGTATACCCACTATACATGTTTATTCCGAGGTCTCTCAAAAGATAATTTCAGAAGAAGCAACCTCTTGGTTCAGTCCAATTTTTTATACATGGGTGGTAGGTACCTGTGTTGATTTTCCTTTAAACAAGATAAATATCATTAAGCATCAAAACTTAAGAAGTAATCTAGTATGACCAATCTGTATTTATCATATACAATAATTTTTAGTCATATACTCAATAATATTTTCATTACAAAAAGTTGTTATCTTGAATTTTTTTCTGATCTTCCCCAACTGTTTTTTTTTTTTTTTAATAGTTATTCTTTCAAACTCCAGGTAACAGTACTCCTGAGAATACATCTTGAGACAATCTTATGCACATACATATAAATACTTTATCAATTACACATAAACATTCAACACATTACATTCAACACATTTAAGGGCACCTTAAATGGAACAGATGCACACATCTGCAAAACCTCAGTAGTCCCAGTATGAAAACATTCCCACTCTATAAGGCCCTGTTTCTCAGAGTGGAGGCTTTTTTTTTGCAAGGTGCAACAACTTAGCTTATTAAAAATGTTTCCAACAGACTTCCATAACACTAGAGTGGAGGAGTCAGGCTGAAAGGCAGGCATGCCAATATCATCATGTTCAAAACAGCCCAGTACTTTTTAAGTACACGTTAAGTTATTTAGAATTCTCAGATATTCAACAATCTTCTTTGACCCCTTTACTTTTTAAAAAATATTTGATACAATTATACGTGGAGAATTTGGATCAAGAATCAAAAAACTGGAACAAAGTGCACACATATATAGAGACTCATATAGCCCAGACACTGGTAATTACCAAACATAAGGCCTCTAACACTAATTGAGCAGCATAATTTTTAACAGGCAAAATACATCAGCTTAGAAAGAATCATAAAACCACTTTATATGTATATTTCTGCACTTGAAAATTAATTCAGCATTAAGTAAATACTCTGAAAATTGTGTAAAACATGAAAGGAGGCCATACACCACCTCTATTTTCTCAAGCTTTAGATTTGAAAATTGTCATTTTGTCCATTATCTTTAACACACAGATATCTTTCATTCTCTTAGTAAATGGGACCAAACCCCCAAGTTCTATTTGAAAATATAAATCACAACCTAAGCAATACCTATTTAATAAGCAATTCTAACAGAAAAAATAACTTTCCTTTGTGATTTGGGTGACTTCAGCAGGTCTTCTCTCTTTATAAACATACTTTTCATAGTCAACAGAGTTGAAGTTGAAGCATACAGAATGTGTTTTCAATTCATTGCAATGTAATCAAAAGCTGTAACTTTAATTGGAGTACTAGAAAAATGCATGTGGGCGTACACACACACACACACACACACACACACACACACACACGTGTGCATACATCCCCCACACCAATTTAGGTACATATATGGATTTTTATAAGTTTAGTAGTTGTGTAACAGTTTTCTAATGTAAACTGTTAAAATTTTGAAATTCGGTTTTGAACTATATGATGCCAAGCCCTACTACAGGATTAGTAACACTCTAGATAAGGCCTCATGAGCCTTCTAAGTTTTATGCTTTTCTTGACATTAAATACACAAGCTGACTGTGTCTATGAAGAGATTGCTCACTTTATAATTTTTCCTCATAAACATAGATGTCTAAAGGATCATAGGAAAATTGTTAACATTGAGAAGAAGTTATTTTATTGACCCAATTCTAACAATAACCTTAATATCTGAAAATATGCCCTGAAGGGCCGGCACAGGATACTGAATCATATCTTCAAATATCTCCTCATCTTGGCATTGATGTGGTCGTGGCTAGAAGTAGGAATACCATCTCTTTCTAGCTATTATATTTACATTTAGTTTTCATCATAGTATTGGCTGTTTAGGTTCTTAATTCAAAATTATGTCTGATTCTTTTTCAGAATATTTTCTGTCTAATGTGGTTGTGAAATGGAATGATCTTAGGGCATTAGCATTTTGATTTACAACATGCAAGGTAAATGGCGGTTGAAAAATAAATATTGAAAAATCCACAGCTTTAAAAATAGTATTTTTTTTTTCCTTCTTGTAAATGGCTGTATTGTTGATCAAAGCAAAAATGGCTGCAGGCTTATTTATTAGTCTTCTCAAACTAATATTTTCCTTATTGATCATTTTTATGTAAATTGCTATTCATACAGCCACCTGATTTAATACTTTTGAAACTATAAAAATAAACATTTGCATGAGATGTATAATGTGAGTAATCTCAAAAATTGCATTCTCTTTTTAGAACATATTATTTGTTAAGATTCCTAAGTAAGCAGCTCCATAATAGTATATATTTTTAACTGCTCAAGGCTTCTTGAATCATAAACATTGTGCAGTGAAATGGCTCTTTCCTCTTAGTCTTCCCTGGTTTTTATGGTCTTCACACAACCAAATTATCTTAGCCATTGATTTTTTTAAAGATGTTTATGAAACGTGCACATTAGCAGCAAAATCTACTGAGATTTGTGTCACCCATTGGATGTAAAGTGCTGTGTTTTCATCTTTTCCAAGCAAAAGTGTTCACCTTTTAGCAAAGCGATCCCTCCTACATCTTGCCTACCCCTGCCACTCTTAACAAGATATGGAATTAAACATGAGACTCATCTAGGTCTCCGTCAGTCTCCTCCAACTGGGTGGGGGTAAGAGTGAACTGGCTGGACAGCAGGGGGTTCTCCATGCCATGTTCCTCGCTGATGTGAAGGACGGTGTCTCCGTGCTGTAGGAGGATGGATGTCTCAAGGCCTGTGAATTCATCAGGGTCTGAGAGTTGCGCAGAGAGGGGGCCGTGGGCTGGAGCACCTTGGACTTCTGCGTCCTCCTTCTTTTCTCCTTCTTCGGCGGGGAGGGGCTCACTCTGTCATCAAAAGGATCATGGAAAGGCAGGATAGGTGGGAGGGAAGAGGATCAAAAATGTCATTGTCTACCTGAAGCTGGGCAAGGATGCACACGGCCAGTCCCAGCTCTAGCTTTGGCATATGCAAGCTTATACAAATCCTTTAGCCATATGGGAGTTCTTATACGGACCCCTTCAACCTTGCAAGCCTGTTTTCCTAAGCTTTAGCATGACTGTATCTTTTTGCCCTGCTTACTTTGTAGACTGTGAGGATAAAAGGAGATTTGATGATGTTACAAGTCTTGTTAACCATTAAACACTCTACGAACGTGTGTAGTAATATTGCCCCATAGCTTTCTTTAAGTGTCACTGGGAAGAACATGGGGCCTATGGGAATTTGTTTATAAAAATTGGAAGAAGAAAAAAAATCAAAACAACAAGAAAAATATCAAAATGATGAGGAAAAAGATTGGAATAGAGGATTCCTCTCATTTCATAGGATAGAGACAGCTATTTACAGGGTTCCAAAGGGGAAATTTATTTTCCTTTTATATTGAACTATCTTTCAACCAGGTGTCATATCATGGTTTTCAATGGTTATTTTAGTTGCGAAATATTTTCTTTTGGGTTTTTCATAACAAAGAATCCCAAGATTTCTCTTATTCCTTCTTAAGTAGATATATTCCTGACTATATGGATGTTCTTGTTCATGACAACAGAACTGTTGTCCGTCTGGGTAACAAAAGGTTATAGACCCAGACTTCCACTATATGGGATAAATTTGCATATCCACATTGTTCCTAGACACACTGTATGCAGGGGGCAAGCCTCACCTGTGTCTTTAGAGCCCTCACCTGCCTGGGAGACAGGCTGTGAAGATCAGCAACTACAATGGCAGGGGAAGACGTGAGGACTGGTTTGCCCATTCCTTCCAGCTTCTTAGATGGGGCTGGACTGCAGCCTTGTGGCTGGCCTGTGGCGGGAAGTGTTTCTGGAAGGGTGGTGGCTGGCTCCGGCTGAGCCTCAATGAAGGTCACAGAACGTTTCTGGTCCGCTGTAGGTCAGAAGTAAAGTAGTAAATAGGGAAAAAAAAATATATTGTCCAGTGCTTAATAATTAGCTTTAACCAGTGTTTCCTGGCTTTCCTTTGTAAAGACACTGCTGGCTTGTTAATAAAGAAGAGCATATTTGACTACTATGTATGTGTTCTGATTTCACTTCTTACAAAGAGTAGAATTTGGGTAGAAAAAATCATTTTTACATAAATGGCTTAAACAAGATTTCCATCAAGCATTAGGTGAACTTGGTCATCACTCATAACAGCCACCAACAAGACTTAAAGGTTCCTATCTTTCATTTCTTTGTCTTCAGTAAGACATATAACAAACTCAGTTCCTGACTTGGGTAAGGAAAACACAACCTGGTAGAATCAAATCTCATAGCATTCGTGGCTTACACTGGACTCTTCCATTTCCCTAGACTTATAGGGTCGGGATAGGGTAGGAAAGGTGAAAAGAAGGAAAGGCACTAAAGTGCCCTGGGAAACTTCTTCCCTAATCCTAAGCATGAGCTCCGGGTCTGTAGACCTTCCTGAGTTCCATGACATGGAGTCAAATGATATAGTCAGAAGGGACACAGGAGGCCTCACCAGATGGCTTCGTTTTAGGTTGAATACTCCTGCGAGTGGTTGACAGCCGAGCCCCGTGGCGGTTTTTGGGTTCAGTCTGTGTCTTCTGACGTGACAGTAGAGGACGTCTTAGCTAAAGAGAATAGGCAGAATAAAGCTGGCAAGAGGGCTCTAACTGCCTGGGAGGAAACTGTGTTCAGAGAATTCTGACTCTGGTGTATTCTTTCCTTTAAGTGTTTCCGCGGATACCTGTATTCGTATTCGTAGCTGATAAATTCGTAGCTGATAATTTAACTTCTTTCTGTATATGGAACACTGAGTATTTGAATCTGGCATTCCCTTTAACCAATTCTATCTCCCAATTATTAGTTCTTTACCTATCCATTGATTAACATAATTTAAAATAGTCAATGTGATAATTTCAGGATACAAAATTAGTAAGTATTGCTTATCGATCAGCTTTTGCTCATCTAAAAGTTGTAGCTAAATGCATGCTAAGTCTCAAGGGGAGGTTGTTGAAAAAATCTCAAATGCTGAGAAAGTGTCTGGTATGCAAATGTTGGGAAGCTCTAATCGAAGCGACTGTACAAAGTCTCATTTAAATTTGTATGTAGAGAATAAAGGGACCCCATCTGAGGAAATCTGTAAAGATGATCTTTGCTTTGATTTTGATTTTAACCTGAACCATTAATCTTGAAATGAAGAAGAAAGGTCTACTGGGTCTATGCCTCTATAGAGAAACAGGCCTTACATCAACTTCATAACAAATCTTCCTTGCTCAGAATGTTTGGTTGGGAAATAAGGTTTCTGGACTGGGGACAAAGAGAATTATAGGCCTGCTTATGCAACGAAGGAATCAGCTTTAGCAATAAGAAGACTCAAAGCTAAAATAGAAGCCAAACTCTCCGCTTGCCCAAGTACTTACGTTTTAAAGTTGCTCTGTATTGCTTATTTCAGGCGGGGAGAAGGCAAAATATGATCTTCATATACGTGGGCATTACAAATTAACTAGAGCTTCCGTTTCATAGGATGACTCTCCTGCCCTTTCTGGGTCTGCTTACCTGCCTCAGGCCCCTCTTTCTCCCCAATGGCTGCTGAATGAGGAGGTTCTGTTGGCCAGGTTCACTCTGGACACTTGCCACCCTGTCAAGCATCAACAGTGTTAGTGGACTGCAGAGAGGGTACAGACGACCGTCTTCGGGTGGGTATTTGCCAAAACCACTTCTATGAAACAGTCACTTCAAAGATACCATTATCTTTGAAGGAAGGTTGGGAAAGTATCCCTGGGATGAAAGATTTCAAGGGTTTGGGAGGGAGGACAAGGCCTCGTAGCCCCAAGCTGTCAAAATTGAGATTTCGTTTTTAGTCACTGATGCCATGTCTATCATCCAACAAAACATTGGTTCGATCACACCCCTGGTTTGGAAGCCACCAAAAGGTTAAAGATGTCACATTCTAATCTCAATTTTTTTTTCCAAGGGGAAGGGAAAAGGTGGTGACAAACAAACACAAACAACTCTATCACATGGATGGGAACACCTTGGTTAAAATTTCAATTTAAATGAAAATAAGATGGACAGATATCAAACACATCAGACACAGAATCCATTTGGGTGAAGGGGCACATTCAACACATGTTTGCAGCCTGAAGTCTCTGTGACCACTGAGTAAGTGAATAGTCACATGGGTAGACAATTAAATGTTTTTAGGAAAAGATTTTAGATTTAGGAGGCCGGCAAAATAATCAAGCTATCGGAAGAACTCAGAAACTTATCAATTGAGTAGCTGCACTCAAACACATTGTGCAATTTATAAAAACAAAAAGCTGCTCCCCCCAAATTTACTGTGTATGCGTGTATTTTATATGCAAAAATGATTCCTGACCGTGGTGGCTACTTCGGTGTTGGGTGAGGCTGAAAATACTCTCATGGATGCATGATCCATTTTCATTCTGCATGCATGTATAATAGGTATTTATAATGGGAACGGCGGTGAAGAGAAGAAATGTTTTGTGCCCCAGAGAACACTGTAACCCAATGGATGATGCCATTGTGCTTATTTGGTTAACGGGCAATTAATTTCTGTTTTGCCTTTGCAAAAGGAGAGTCATCTACAAATGGTCTTTAGAGTAAAATATTCCACAGAGGAATCCGGAGTCAGCAACTGTCCAGGAAAAAGAAAGACTATATTCATTCATTTCCATGAAAAAAAAAAGAGCTATCTAAAATATCTAATTGTAGTTGTAGAGAAAGAAATTGGTGGCAGGATAGACAATCAGATGTTTCCCCTGTTATGTTAACAACTGGTTAACCGTCACATGGGTGAGAGTCATATCTGCCATTTTTTAAAAGTCTTAACTCCTATATCCACTAGAAGAAAATCAATGATTCCCAAATGGAGTATATCAAAGTTTTTATGAAATAAGGATGTCATTATATCATAATTATACCATTTGGGATACATAGTACAAAATGCCATAAAGAGTCCCCAAAACAGATGCTTTTTAAACTTTCTTGTTCTCCTTAATATCAAGTTCAAAAGATCAATATACATTATTTTTATACATATGTGACCTTCCTATGAAGATGGAAAATTATTCAAAGGAACAATGCAATAAATTCTGATAAGCAATCCAGACTATGTTGCTGGCATGTTTGAAGTGACATCTCCTTATTAATTATATATTTTAACATGTGCTTTAAGTTCAAAAGAGTATTCAATCACCATATGCACAAGAGTAGAAACAAGTTTCTCCCAAACACCAAGCAAAGCTTTCTTTGGGATGGTTTCTTTGTTGACATCTAAATGTTACCTCAGTTCCCTTGGCCGTAAAGGGAGGTTAATACTTACCACCTACCTCCCATTAAGGTCGAGAAAAGAAGTTAGTTGATGTAAAATGGTTGGCACATGAAAAGGGATGTACATAGCATGCTTCTTTGTTTTACGTTAGCTATTTGTAATGAGTTTATTGCTTCTAGAACGCTAAAAGGAAGTGGGTTATAAAATGTTTTGAAAATAATTGGGCCGAGAAAATGAAATTGAGGCAGTCCACTTGTCTTGTTTTTAATTCAGTAATCGGAGATTGTGAGGAAAAAATGGTGCAAGAAAACAAATACACGTTACTCAGGGAGTGTTAAATGTCAAAGCATAATGGTAGTTTCATGATGGTTATTTTGAGAGAGGATCATAAGCATCAAAATTTTCTCTATGGATAGAGAGGCTTATATCTAAGAAATGAATCGAGTTTACTGCTTCAGTAATTAGCTGTTCTATATATAAATGATAGAGCATTTCATCAGTGGAATGCACATATCAAAGATGAAATTACAGAACATGTCCCTGGAAATAGAATATCCCAGCTAATACATTATATTCTCCCCAAAAGAGATGTATTGGGGACATCAAAGTCTGGCTTAACTATGTACAGTTAGGGCACATTAATAAACAGCCAGAAAAGTTCAAAATGGAAGTAATCCTTGCAGAACACATTACTTTCTCTCAGGTCTATATCAAATTGCATATAAAAAGTAGTTTCAATTTAGTTTCAAATTCTCTCCAAGTCATGTACTATTTTAGTCATCTGTAGGATTTACGATTTGTGACCATAAGAATGTACAGTACTAAAACCAACTGGGAGAAGACCAAGGTGTTTGCCCTAAGTGCCTCTCTAAAGTAAACTGGTTTCTTGAAAATGTTGATCTTGAGAATGAGAAATGGTCAATTTTCCACAGTTAATAATTGCTTAAAACAATAAAGAGAAAAGGAAATAAAACATTCTCAACTGAAGCTAAAATTATCCTTTGTATTTTGGAGTCACTGAAAAACATCACTATGGCAAACCATACAATGATCCAGATTTGAGGGAAGGACATGCATTTAGGGCTTGTCAGAACTTGACTCAACTGTCTAAGAAAAACAAAAACACCTTACCCAAAATGCAAGGAAGTAATAAGCTAGCGAAGTTCAGACCATGTTAGGAGAACAATTTTTGGCACAAATTACCTCTTTTTCTCTGTTTCAGCCTGAGGGCCTGGAATGTAGTGTAGAAATATGTATGCATCTCCCAAATGAGATATATACCTAATCGTACTTTTAAAATACTGGATAGGTGGATAAGCGGACATTCAGTAATGTAATAAAAATATAATATATAAAAATGTAATAATAATTCATATTATTCTTCTAAAGTTACAAAAATGTGTAGATTGAGACATAGATATATTTCATAAATAAAAAATTTAAGTGGATGCACTAGGTAAGACTAGCACATGGAAAATGAATTCATATTTTCATTACCTCTACCTGTGCTTTTAGGTTCAATTTTAATATGGCTAGAGAAATATGGAGGTGGAATACAAGACACAAAGCATAGCCATTTACCCTGAGTGACTGTCTTATGATGGGAATGCATAAAGCCAGCACCAAAGGAGCCATAAAGCATTTGTAGAGAACAGGGAAATAAACAGGAGACAAAATTCGACTTTTCCCTTTCCCCATAAAAGATCATTGTTTAAAATTTACTTAGCCTCCACAATGTCGCAGAGCAACGATTCCTGTCCCCTCGGAAGTCCTTCTAACTGGACTAAAAATCAAATTAACACGAGACAGAATAACAGGAGAAAACCAAATTTCATAGGTTTAAGTACGGAGGATCCACATAGACATGGACATTCCAAAGACAGGCAAAATGACATCTCCATGTCATTCTGAACTAATGAGAAGGGCCTGGGGTAGGGATTTCAGAAGAAAGGAAGGCACTTTGCAGGGTGACAAGAAGAGCTGATGTTTGGTAATTAGATGTTTGCCCTACCTACCATACAGATGGGTCCACTCAGATAAAGTTGATCTCGTTTAATAACCCTTATTCTGGGAAAGACCCTCAACATAGAGTCTGCAGTGTGGATAAGAGAAGGCAGAAGTTTCTCTCAATGCCACAGGGTCTCAAGTGCCTTCACCTCAAAATAATCCACATGCCAAAATGGCAGATTCTGGGGGAGTCTGTCCTGACCCCCTTCAACAACATACAGAAAATGCATTTTAAATGCCACAGAATTTAGAGATTAGTGGCTAGAATCAGAGCAAGAAGGGAGGATAATCTGGATCTTAGATAGCCAGTAAGAACTGAGGCAGCATTGGCAAAGGACATATCTGTGTATCACAACACACATTTTCTTACCCGGTCATTCTCAGTTACATGAGAAAGGTTTAAATATTTTTCTAAGTACTTGGAACGGACTTGCCAAGTTTTCATGCTTTGGAAATGTGGATGATCATGATATGGGTTCTACTAAATAGGTTATTTTTATTTTGTCTCACCCAGGCTACATAGTCTTGTTCAAACTTGAGCCACATTCTTATTTTTCATTGGGATTAAAACTACCCTTACAAAATCAAATAACATTATAATCTCTTTTTTTTTGAAAATAAGAATTGATTGTCAATTCCTGTCTTTCAAAGTATTCTAACGTGTTCAAACAAAATCTGATTTTCAAGTATAAACATCCAAACTAAGTGCTTGAGTAACTTCTGTATGTCTAATTCTTCTGGAGAAAACACGATGGACAGTGTGTGTAGCTGGGGGCAGGAACAGGGAGGGAACATCTGCAGTGAGTTTATATGCCTCTAAGAGTAATAGTTCTTCAACAGAAGAGGATGGGATACTATTTTAATGTGTTAATTTCCAAAAGAAAGAATCTTTGCTCCATAGAATGGTGTTTCTAGAAGGCTGATACCTCTTGTGATAAATATTTAAAAGAAACCAGATAGTACAGGTTAAAAAAAAATCCTGAAAGAAATTTTCAAAAGGTCTACATAATTTTTATTGGTTTCTACCTATTCATCAGGTCACCCTAGTTATTCTGGTCTCTTCCTCATTTGTCCCTCAGGCCAACTTTTCCCTTTGACCTAAAATAAATGCTCTTTCAAAAGCAAATCTCCAGAACATTTGCCAAAATGTGGGAGTTAGGGGAGAAGCAGGGTATATTACTTTCCTTTGGGCATGATTCCTGGTATTCTTTTTTTTTTTTTTTTTTTTTTTTTTTTTTCTGTAAGTAGGCTCCACAACCAGCATGGATCCCAACGCTGGGCTCGAACTCACAACCCTGAGCTGAAGACCTGAGCTGATATCAAGAGTCGGACATTTAACCAACTGAGCCACTCAGGACCCTGCTTCCTGGTTTTCTTTAAGGCTTGGAGCCAGATTTTCCTTAGGACTACTTTGGGCGTATTTTAGGTCCTGAGTGTTCAGATGCGTGCTAAATATAACTGCCATGGTTGATCCCTACTGTTTCTGTAGGATCTGAAGAGTCTGCAACATAAAGAAGTTTCATGCCAAATATAAGAATGTCTGGAAACCAGATATAAATAAGTGCATATCCTATCGTATAAACCCACCTCTTAGTAAATACCAAAAGTTCCTCTCCTCCAAAGAGAACTTGGTGACATGATAGAGTTCAAGAAATACAATTTGCAAGGTCTGGCAAAGGTGGATGTGCTACTGGCTGATGGGATGCTTTTGCATTAACAGAATTATTTAGAATCCAAATGAACACCTCGTCCTCTCTTTCCTTAATGACCACCACCGAGTGTGGGCAGGTAACACCCAGAACTAAAACTTGCCAGTTACAGGAACAACAGATCTACAACAGTTGGTCTAAAACAGTCTCCAAAGTCCTGACATGACTGACTAACTCAGTTGTAGATAAAAGCTATAGATTTGGCACCGAAACAGTCTTATGTAGCAAGAACTTTGGGTTTATTCCCACTGGTGCAGGATCCAGGGCAAGTCAAGTTCAGCAATTTGAACCCTGAATCTGCCAGAGAGGTCCAAATCCTTTAGAAAGTTTATAAATATCAACTCAAATTCCTGCCTTCTGTCACCAAACCTGGACTAGTATTTTTACTTAGCAAGAGTAGAATTTGGCCTAATTAGAAAAGCCCTGGGACAAAGTTGGCCAAATGGAAGTCAACAAAGGGCTTAATCTTTTCCACACTCGGAGGGACACTGAAGTTCTCTTCTAAGCGAGGTTCGTCTATCTCACATGTAATTTTAAGCATCAAACAAATGCATTCTTTGAAAGTAGTGGTCACGGTGCTAGACTCAGTTTCAATCTCTTCAACCACTGTGAACAATGAAGGGAAACCATCTTTAGGACTGTGTTGTACATTCACACCCCCACAGCTCTTGATAATGGACTTGAGTCTGCACTCTGCAGCACGTCCACATTTACCAACAGTAAGAAACTGATCTGTCAAGGCAAGGGCTCGCAAACACAAATGAATGCTTGTGAATTATGGGTCTAGTAAAAAAAAAATGATACACCTGATGATGGACTAAATTTCCCATTTTCATTTGCTGAAGAAAATGTGAAATCTGAACAAGATGCAAAGAAAACAAAAAGAAAAGGAAGAATATCCTGTCACAGGAACAGCCTCTCAACATTTCCTCATCTTTTTGATAAAGCAATAAACGTATTGTACTCACTATGTAACGCAGACCTGGAAGGGAATGTTTTCTCTTGAGATGGAACTAAGGCATTGTGAGAATGAACAAGAAGCATCGCCCCTAATGAGGATTAGTTGAGAGGTGTGAATCAACAGCACAAGATTAGGAATGTTTGACATGGTTTATCTGAGTGTTAAAGGTGCAGTCCCCCTTTCTGATTCCTTAAACCAATAGTCAAGATCTCTTACTGTCTGCATTGTAAGACTTCTCTTACTTACCAAGAAATGTCTGTGTCTGACATTTCATGGCAAGTTTTGGAGTCATCTTTGTGCTGGGACAGACGTTCTTTTTATCAGTGTTGTTTGAACAAGCTACTATAATAGCTTGCCACATGGCATGCATCAAAGAGAGGGAATTATAGAAATTATATCGACATCACATCTCTTATTATAGCAGCATTGTTTGTTTTCTTACCATCCATGCTATGAACTAAAAGACCTGTCTGGATTTAATAAGGGGCTTCTTGATGATGGGGAGTTGTATTAAAAGGCTTCTGAAAAACAATTCTTAAGGGATATCAGTGTGGGAGGGAATGATTCGATGGGATAAAATTAACATTTAGCATATCAAACTTTTTAGACATCCATGGGACAAGCCCTTAAAAGAACTCCACGGATTTTTTTTTTTTTTTTTTAAAGTAAGCTTTTTAGGCCATTTATGATTGAGCTCTGAAACTGAAAATGAAGGAGGCTACACCTTTGACTTCCAGGCTCGTGTGTTCATGAGCAACAAAGGTCAATAAATGGAAATAGGTATCAAGACGGGGGCGGGGGTGGGAAGGGGCGAGAGGAGACAGAGAGACAGAGAGACGGAGGAGACAGGGAACAGCTAGTTTCCCAGCACAGACACCAATAGACAGGTAGCGTTGACACTGTACCTAGAGAGGCTGCCCTCAGCGGCCAGGCCCTGGGAGTCATCGAGGACATTAGGTTCACTGCAGGAGGGGTAGGGAGATGAAGCATTTAGGGAAAGAAAATGCAAACAAATAAAAGAAAAAGAAAAAAAGGCATGCAATTTTCTGCTTCCAAGAGCCAAAAATAAATAAATAAATTTAACAGAACAAGAAGGAAAAGGAGACAGGTAACCATTTCACCTTGTGCTGGGTTTGTCAAGACATAGGACTCGAGGCAATGGGGGAGGAGGGACTTTGGGTGGGTGCGACTCTCAGAGGAGTGATCTATTTATTGGTCAAGAGTTACGACTTAAAAATGAGCTCCAAAGGGACACATGAGCTCTGAAATGCGTTGTAGAATGAATCCATAGAAGATGAGACTATCATTCCTTTGGTGACCATTTGGCTGGATGATTATTACTTTCCACTTGTCTTATTATGTACATGATTCTTCATCGACCAGGACACTGCTTCTTTCTCATGTGTTGTGACATTACCACACAAAAGCCACTTACCATGAATTGCCACAACCAAACTTTTGGAACTGATGCCATTAAGAAAAGCAAAGAAAGAGCTCAACTTCCCTTGCTAATTTTGCAATGAAAATGCAAGTCAACAGCAAATGGGAGGAAGATAACCCTAGAATATTCACCTGGAACTCTCATTTACCTCCTTACTCCACCGTCTAGGGACTGAATTGAATGCCAAAAGAAGAAACCTGTCAGGTTGGTGAGAGAATAATTAAATAGTTTACTGATTTATTTGGATGCAGCTGATTTTGGGATTTGTGAACAGAAATTGTGTCATAATTTCTCTCTCTACTTCACTACCTAGCATCAGGCTAAGCAAGCACCCACAAGGCACTCAATAAATACTTATTAAATTGAAAGGAATGAAACTATTTAGAAAGATGGAGTGCCTCCCCCTCCAATTGTTTACCTAATTGTACACTATAGAAATGGTTTCTGTGTCCAGACAGAGGGTCCCTTTCCCTAATGCACATACATATTACTACCTTCAGTAGCCTTCCAAAATATAACTCAAACCAAAAGGCTTAACTATATGATTTTTCTGTATTTCCAGCATATCCACAAGAGAATAAATTTTCTCCCTTGAAACAATTTAACCTCTTAATGAATATGTACAAAGGGAATGGATGGTCTGGTTAGTTTAAGGTAAATCGCCAAAACCCCTCTATGCTAAATTCCTACAATTCCTTAATTTAAATAAAACTTTTACATGAATTGCTAGACAGTTTTCTTTTATCCTTGATAGAAGCTTGCACATGCTAGCAATTAAAAATGAATTGATAGTTACCAAAACTAACTGCTTGTATGATTTTATATCCTTTTTTTGGGACATTTTATAGTTTAGCTCTAGTTTTGTACATGCATTTTATTTAAAAGACCTCCTTTTTAAAGGTAAATTACCAAAAGGTAAGGTAAAACAATCTCTAACAATGATAGTAACCCTTATCTATTGTTAATTTTTGTATTAACCAAATAGTACATAAAATACTGCTTTCTTACAAGTATGAAATTTACTTATTAATCATTTTTAAAATCATTTTCCCCTAGTTTTTGATATTCTCCAAAGTTAGACTTTATTTCACAAATTTTATTTCATTGGTAAAGTTCATGAACTATTTGCTAAAGGATTTGGGCATAGGGTAATTATTTCTGCATAAAACTTATTTTTCTGGACATTAGAATGTGCTATGATTTTTATTATTTTCCATGTATGAAGTATACCACATTGAATCTGTAGATATTAAAAATAAACAATAAGCTAGCCAAAAACACATAAGGCCAACTCTTTGAAAGAATTCAGTTCTTGAAGTGAAAATATCATTGGCTCTGAAAAAGACAATGTTTTGACTCTTAGATCATTTTCTATATTTGATACATATCTATATCTATATATCTTGGAACTTTTATGTATGTTCTTATAGGTCAGAGAACACAGAAAGAAAATGTCTTAAAGTGTTTAGTCACGGAATCATGGAACTATAGAGAATGTACTGTAAAGATCACTTTAGCGGACCTCCTTCTTTCACAGAGAAGAGCACTGTTGGCTTCTGTTAAATGACCTGCCCAAGGTCACACATAGTGGCATAGGTCCTTTTCTGCTTGGTTAAGCATCACTACCTCCAACTAAATACTTGTGACCTACCAAAAGTCTAAACTTCACCACATATATCAAGCTAGTCCTACACACTCGCCAGGTACTCATTATTAGCTTAGCTAATGATATAGGTGAAATATGAAAATGTCACTTGACAACCAGAAGAAAAGACTTCTAGAGAGTTTTTAAGTTGAAACAATGCTTGGATCAGAAACTGGGACCTGGCTTAGAAAACTCTCTGCAAACTGTTGCCTGCATGACTTTGGTTGAAAAGTCCTTTGTTGAATGGGCTACAGAAAAACACAATTGTCAGCTTCTCTTTTGGCCTTTTTAGAACAACAAAAGTGAATTTTCAGAATTCTACCTTTGCCCCCAAATGCAGAGTATAAGATATCCATGGCTCTTTACCTTTGGCTGGGTAACATGCCCACCTCAGCCTGAGGTGCAGACATGCTAGAGACGTGGCTGGAGAACCGCCTCCTTCCAATGGCGCTCAGGAGGTAAGCTTCTTGTTCACTTACCACACTGGGCATGCTTACAGAGTCATCTGATAGGGGACAAAGGAATGCAGCGTTATAAAACTACGATATCAATCAGAAGACCCAGAGTTTGTACGTGGGTTCCATCTTTGGCTTGGGTTTCTACCTTAGGGTACTTTCTAAAGCTAAGTTATCATAATGTAAGACTCCCAAAGGTCTGAGTTTTTAATCTGTACAAAGGGACAAACAACTTTTCACGTCCACACATCTCCCACCCTCAAACGGTCTTCATGAAATAAATGTAAACATCTTGTCCATTTTTACAAGAAAATTATTTGTGAAAGACAAGAGGCATCTGATTTCAGAAAAGCTGAGCTAAAAATTTTTAAGCATTCTGAGAATAGTGCAAAAAGGAATATTGTTACTGAATGAGTCAAGTACTTTTTTTGACACTGAAAAACTATATTCAATACATTTAATGATTTTTAGACTGCTGAGGGCAAGACTATTTCAGATAGTTTTAGGGTAAATATTTAAAAACCTATAAAATTTAAAAAAACACAAATGCTTATTTCCACTTAAAGTTTTAAACTTGACACATACAGTCTTATTTTCTTCATGAAGTGGAAACCAGTATCTTCAAATCCATATGAAAGTTAGCTTTAACACAGTATTCGTGACAAGGTGGCCTCATTTTAAGTGAGTTAATGTTGTTTGTTGCTGAACAGTAAACATATTTTTATTTATTTTTTAAAGGTTTTATATATCTATTTACTTGAGAGAGAGAGAGAGAGCACACACACAAGCAGTGGGAGGGACAGAGCAAGAGGGAGAGGGAGAGGGAAAGAATCTCAAGCAGACGCTACTCTAAGTGTGACACAAGCCTTGATCCCATGACCCTGAGATCATGACCTGAGCCAAAACAAAGTGTCAGACGCATAACCAACTGAGCCACCCAGGCACCCCTGAACAGTAAACATATTTTGATTAATGTAGCATTGTGGTTAACCTATGCTACCATACAATGTCATCTGACATCTTTTATTTAAAATACCCCAAGTGGTCATATTTCTAATGAAACTTCTTTCAAACCAAAAAGATGTATATGAAAAGTGCCAGAAATTTTAATTTGTTACTAATGACTGACTTGAAGTTGATTCATGTTATAGAATGGTTCTCTTTTCTTAGGTGTGTTCACAGAGAAGGGAATAAACAAAGGTGCCTTGAAAACATGAAAAACATGGTAACGTAAATAGAGCCATTTCTACAAAGTCCTTTCCCATATCTCACTGATTTTTCCTCCTATTTAAACTCATAAATCACTTCACAGTCTCTCAATATTTGTTTGATGATTAATTACATGGTGCTTTCCATTCACCCTTTTATTAAATGTTCTTTATTGAAAATGTCTGTCATCTCCTCTATAGGACTCGATCTAAGATCTCAGAGAACATATTTTTTCTCAGACTTCCTTATACCTCATCTTGTACCTGGTTAGGTTTTAATATGGGTTTGATGACAGAATGGGAAAATAGTTTAATTGAAAGCAGTCAGCCATTTGGCTTTTATACCCAGCCCATAAAAATTACTACACACCCACATTAAAACCATACATTTTTTAGCAACTCTGTTTCCACTGGGTTGGTTGTGATGTCTAAGAGCAGAGATAATAGCCAAATATTGCACGCTCATCAGTGGGTGTAAGTGAGGGCTCCCAATCAGAGATACCTCTTTTTATTTCCTCTCTACCTTTCTTCCGTATCTCCTTCTGGCTAGGAGGTTACCTACAAAAGATATTCAGCTCTACTAAAGATAGGTGGTATCATTTCCCATAATTAAAAAAAAAAAAAAGAAAGAAAACCTGCTGGGAGACATTACTTCAAGCATAGAGAAGAATAGATATTACTAAAGTTCTGAACTATTACTAGGACTTACTGAATATAAAAACTGCTGATCCTTATCACTCTCATTTTGTTTTCTTGGTCAAGATTTTTCAAGTTTTCCCATTACAATTTTAAGGGTATTTCTTTGCACCATGAGCAGGGCACTTTAGAAATAAGTGTATCTGTAGGTCAGGTGAAGGACAACATGATCTTCACTTCATTATCTGATTAACCCTGAAACCAAATCTGGAAACGTGGCTGCATTTTTTTTTCTTTTCCTCTCCTCCACATCCAACTCTAGTACGGAATTAAAATACTTTCATTCACTTTAGTTAATTAAAATTCCAAACTCAACTCCTATTTTTCCTAATTTAGTTTAGAATGGGGCTTTTTGTTGTTTGATATGGAGAGCCTCTGGGTGAAGAGCTAGATTTTGTCTTCATTCTTAAGGCACTGACAACACTCTTTGTTAAATAAATGTTATACCAGAGTGTCTTTTTTTTAAAAAAGATTTTATTTATTTATTTGACAGAGAGAGAGAGCACAGGGAAGGGGAGTGGCAGGCAGAGGGTAAGGGAGAAGCAGGCTCCCCACTTAGCAAGAGCCAGATGTGGGGCTCTATCCCAGGACCCTGGGATCATGACCTGAGCTGAAGGCAGGTGCCTAACTGACTGAGCCACTCAGGCACCCCTCAGAGTATCTTTAAGTCACAACTAGAAAATAATCAAGGCAATAAAAATAATTAAATGACCGTGGTATTTAATTGGAACTTTCACTCTTTACTTTTAAAACCTACTCCTATTAAGCATACATATAAAACACGTTCTTGACTGGTCTCATTTCAGGACTCCAAATCTTACGTGTAAAGGTTAGAAGCTCCTGGATCACCTCCATCATTGGGAACACTCTTGACTCAAATTTGGGGTGTATTTTCCTTTTGGGTTGTAGTCCCTCAAGACAGCCTATTGGTTTACGTTCTAGAAAGTATAGCCAACTGGTCTTTTCTGAGTCCTGAGTAGATGCATTGCTTAGTTTTCCTTGCCTGATGGGGACATGTGAGTGCTAGTTAATCCTCTCAGCAAGATGGCCAGGAGAAAGGGGAATAAACACTTCTCTTAGTTCCTTAAGTACAATTTAAATGAGAGTACGTAGAAAAGGTTGAATTTATAAGCTCCAAGTGTAGGGGGTCCCTTAAGATTTACTTTTGTTTGAATTCCTTCCAAATGACCAAGGCAACTGAGGAATTTATAGAAGAGTGGGCAGTAGGAATCATGGAATCAGTCACAATTCCATTTTATTTTATTATTTATTTATTTATTTTATAGATTTATTTGTTTTAGAGAGTGAGAGAGCACAAGTGGGGAGGGCAGAGTGAGAGGGAGAGAGAATCTCCTGCGGACCCCCCACTGAGCACAGAGCCCCATAGGGGGCTTAATGCCACGACTCTGAGATCATGACCTGAGCCGAAACCAAGAGTCAGACACTTAACTGACTCCACCATCCAGGCGCCCCACGATTCCACTTTAAATCCTTTTTGTAAAAATGACCAGGGACCAGTACTGAAAAAAAGTCAGAATGGCAGAACTCCTTCCCAAGACCTCATTTGCATGGCCAACCAGGGTCCCACATGCCACCCCCTCATTTACCCCATCCTGTGGAGTGACCTACTTTCCTCATCTTCCTCATCAGTCCTACTCAGGGTGTCTTGCGAAGCCTGCTGGGAGGGTTCACTGTCCTGCTCCCAGACAGTGCCAGTGCCCGTGTTGGAGCGGGACATGGTGGCCAGGCTCAGGCGGTAAGCGGAGGTGGATGTGCCTACAGTACTGATGGACGTCTTCCCTTGGTAGGCTGGGGGTTGAGAGACCAAAGGAGAAGCATGGTGAGTGTCTCAAAAGAAAACAAATGCTTGCTTCAAACTCCTCCCTAGTATCAAGGATACCTGTGTTTTTTAGGAAAGGACAGTTAAATAGTGTGTCCCAGATAAGCAGTCTTTTTAAGATAAAATAGCAAGTGGAAGTGAGATTTAAAAAAGAAAAAGAAGAATTGGCTATTGATTTACTCATAACTGAACAGTTTCCTTAGGGGAATATAGCACCCCTAATAATGTAAAACGCTTTGATATTGCTTCCTCTCTCATTGCTTTCGATTTCAAATGTGAAGGCTAGAAGAATGCAAAATAATTTTGACATGAATTGAAGCTTCCATCTTGGCAGATTTTACTGAGAAATATACCTTCCTGACACAAGCATGTAGGAGTAATAAATGCATTATCTGATAGGAACTTCTCAACCAAAATCAGAATACATAATCAAAACTGTGTTCGCATTCTCCTTTCCTGGAAATTATAAACTTACAAAATATCCCCTTGAATGTGTCACGTTATTTTATTATAAAGCAGAATATTTGAAAGGCATTCTGCAGATTTCACTAAGATTGTACTTGTCAAAATACATCGGAAGCAATAGTACATTTTAGGAAGAAAAAAAAGCCACACGGATGATAGTCTACTTATGGGTAATGACTGCCCTCTAATGGCAGATAATGATTTGTTTTCTCTCCTAGTAATATCCTGTTAATAATTGTAAGAAGTAAACAATGCACCCTCAAAAGAAAATCTTTTAAATAATGTAAAGAAAGGACCTCCTAAGCTGTCAACTCTAATTAAACCATTCCTCCCCCATCTGTAAAAGATCAAGGGTTTGTAAGCAATCATTCTAGTTCCGTGTGCAGATACTTTATTCTCTACCGAGTCTCAGTGTCCTCACTTTTAAGCGGACTCTCAGTTATGCACATTGCGGGCATCTGTGTGGATTAAGTGAAATAACATCTATGAAACCATCTACCAAATAACAGAGGTTTAAAGAATACAAATTACTCTCCTCCTTTCCCAAAAAGGAAGTGAAGGCAAGCATTTCAATACTTTTTTTCTAGTTAGTCAAAAAAGAGCTTCACTACTGAAATGAAGATTGGGAAAAAGAAGTTTAGAAAAGAGCAAAATTAAAATCCCATGATACCCCTTGCTTTGTTGGCATTGATCACATGGTCCAATCTGCCAGCAAACTTATATGACTACCTCATCCGTGGTTCCAGAAAGAGTGGTGACCTGGATGGGCATTCTTTGTAGGTGCGAGTTCCATGAGGCAAACCAATGCAAGATATCCCCCGATTACTCACCTGAGCCACTGTGAACTGCCTCTTTTAGGATTTTGAGTTCACTGTTGAACTCGGCGATGAGGGAGCTCTTGCACAGCGGGCGTGGGATGAAGCGTCGCTCCAGCTGGTCGGCGATGTGTTGCCGGGCGGAGAGCTCTTCATGATTTTCTGCCGGTTGGGCCAGAAGCTGAAAGGAAGGTATGGATTCTCAGGTCCTCAATTTGCCCATCTGTAAAATGGGCTAACTATTGTACCTATTTCATAGTTGGTTGTGAGGCTGAAATAAGGTAATGCAAATGAAGTTTTCAGGACGGTGCATTCTATAGGAAGCTCTTAATACATCATTTTGAATCAGTGCTCCAGGAAATTCGGGCATGAGAAGAATAACACAGTAGCTGAATACTGAGGGAGGATGGGGGGGGTATGTTTTAACTGTTCTACCTTTTCTAGGTTTATTTAAATTCGGGTCTCTGTCATGTCACTGAAGAAAGGAGAACATCCCCCAGATCCTACCCTTGGGCCAATCTTTTTTTCTTTTCTTTTTCCCTAGGGGGCAGTGGTGAGTCCAGAGAGGGCAGAGTTTTACAGACTATTAAGACACTCTCAGTGCGAAGGTACTTGATATTTGAGCCTCTGGGATCCATTTTTGAGCTGTTTTCTTACAAACACGGTATTACAAGTTCCTCTTAACTAGCTCTCCTGTGTCCCGCGAACACCGTGCACATCCCCGGGGCTCGGCACCTCCTGGAGAAGCACACACACCTTGCACTGGATGAACGGCCGCAAGAGCACGAAGATGGGGATTCGGGTCCTCACGATGAAGTCGAGGAAGTCCCACAGGGCCAGGCCCCCCACCTTGCGCAGAGCCATCTCCTTCACCTGGAGGCTCAGCCAGTACCACTGGCTTCCCAGCTGCCTCTCGAAGCAGACGAGAATCACCTTCAGCGCTTCACACCGGGAAAAGAGAAAAGTAAGCCAGCGCACTGGTGCTGCGGAGGAACCCAGCCCACATCCACAGCCCTTTATGCGTCAGAACATTTTCTGAATTTCTCAATTGTCTCCGTGTTCCCAAGAACCTCGATGCCCTCCTGAGAGAGTGTTCTGACATCAAAAGTCAGGATGTTTTGATCTATTTGGATTCTGATCAGGAGAATATAGCTCCCTTTCTTAAGTACATTTAACTACTATTTTGCAAAAGACAGAGCAAAGTGGTTCACGGAATGGAAAGGGAGATGCGTCATAAACATAATGTGGGGTTAATATTTTGCTTTCTGAAAGTTCTGTCACAGTGGCTTAATGGTAATACCAGCATACCACTCATATCTTAAACTAAAACATGGGTGATTTAAATGATTTTTTTTCTTTTAAGCATGGAAGGAATATATTCTTGCTATTTAAAGTAAAATCAAACTATGTAGAAATGCACACATTTAGAAAAAGAAAAAGTTCTTCCCCTTCCCAGCTCGCTTTCCTACCCCACCGCTCCCCAGAGGTAACCAGAAAAAGTGTTTGAGTAGATCCTTCCAGATGAAAAAAACCTCCCTCCCTCTTTTCCCCCCTCACATTGCACATCACGCTGATGACTAAACCCTGCTGGATTTCTTTTGCAAGATCTCTTCCTTCCTCAGAGTCTGGAAGCCTGTCACAATCTACATTTATTTATTTTTTTATTTTGTACGAAGAAGATTCCCTAACATTGTGTCAGGACAAACCAGAATATTGTTAGGATGTCAAACGTTCTTGCAGGAGCGTCCTCTGACCCCTCGGCTCTCCGCATGATGTCTGCTACGGGGCAGTCAAGGGAAACCGGGCCTTCCTGATCCTGTCTTAAGGCCCATCTCAGCAACAAGAAGACACAGAAACCCAACTCCTTACAACCCTCAAAGTCACACACACTTTTATATACCAAAATAGGTGTATTTAGGACATTTCCAGGGGGAAAACATGCCATAGAACACACAGAGAGATGTTTTAAGTCTCTCTTACCCATCTCCTCCTCCTCAAAATCTCACTTTTCACAGCCATCATTCATCCCAGTTCCTTTCCCCCGACTAAACAAACAAATGAAAGGGGGGGGGAAGCAAAAAACAAAACAAAACACCCCCCAAAAAACAAAAAACAAAAGAAAACAAACAAAACAAACAAACAAAAAACACCTCCTCCTCTTTCCTACCCTGAGCCTGGGGACATTTCTTTCTTTTTTTTTTAAATATTTTATTTATTTATTTGACAGAGAGAGAGAAAGAGAGATCACAAGTAGGCAGAGAGGCAGGCGGGTTGGGGGGGGAAGTAGGCTCCCTGCTGAGCAGAAAGCCCCATGCGGGGCTCAATCCCAGGACGCTGAGATCATGACCTGAGCCGAAGGCAGAGGCTTTAACCCACTGAGCCACCTGGGTGCCCGAGCCTGGGGACATTTCTACTGCTAGGTGCCTATTAGCCCTCTTTGTGTCTCTGCCTTTCTGCTTTCCACCTTCACCGCCATCAGCCCAACTTATAAGCAGGATAGCAAAGCACTCAAGAGCAGGGACTCTGGTGCCAGATGGATTTGGAATTTGGCTCTGGCGTTTATTAACTGTGTGATTTTAGGTAAATTATTCAACCTTTCTGGGCCTTTGCCTCTTCGGTCCTAAAAGGAGAAGAACATTTACTTCTTAGAGTTGTTAGGATTCAAAGTATAGAAAACACTGCTTGGTACACAGTAAGTGTTCAAAATAAATGTAAAAGTCAACTTGAAACAGAGGTCCAGGAGCCTGGCCAAGGAACTAAAGGATCCACCTTCATTAAAAAGGCAGAAAGTATAATGACCTGAAAACAATCACTCGTCAAGTGTTTTCTCCTAGCCTTGCCTTATGTGTTAAGCCTTTTGTTTCCATCATCTTACGTGCAGTGCCAAACCTTACGCAGGCCTTGGTCCCACAATCTAGATTTTATTGGAACCTCACATTCTCATGGCTTTGGCAACTAAGCCCCACACTTGTCAGGTCCTGTGCAAATGCATTCTTATTTCTTTGTTTTCATTTTCATTTTCATTGTCAATCACATAATTTTCTAATACTCTTCTTTCTTTCTTTCTTTCTTTCTTTCTTTCTTTCTTTCTTTTTTTTTTAAAGTAATCTCTAGGCCCAATATGGGGCTTGAACTCACAACCCTGAGATCAATGCCATACTGACTGAGGCAGCCAGGCATCCCAAATATTTCCCCTTATGATACAATCCAAACAATTCACACATGCCAGACTCCAAGGACCTGTTTTTACGAGTGTGTGTGGTTCATCTTATACTCCCCATACCAAGATCTGCTTTGATAAATTGAAAAAGGTCAGGCATGATCTTCTCAACTTGGTGCTTTTGAGATTTTCTACTGCCAGTGCTCCTTATTCTCCATGCTACGCCAGGAATGGTCTTCTCCCCTGGGTTAGTCCAATTAGGGCCAAGAAACAGCCCTCCAGTGTTCCATGGGTCAGGATCAAGTTAAAGGTAGGGACAGGGTGATGGAAACATAAGGAGTGAAGCAGGAAGGAAATTGGCAAACCTCTGAGAGGAGAACAAGTTGACTGGCCTCACCAAAGTGGAAATCAAGATGGATATTTAGAGATTCTATCATAAGAGAATAGAAATAGCTAGGAAAGGGATGTAGCACAAGGCTGCCATGTCTTGCTGCCCAGGTTACAGACTGCCCCACTCTAGGGGCTCCATTCACATAGATGACAGACCAGTGAATCCCATGCGCTATGTCCCTGTATACTAGTGGAGCCTACATCTGATAACCACTACCAATGATAATCTCAGTAGTGATCTCATACTTAACCAGGAAGGACGAATTCTTACTGCAGATGCCTTCCTTACATGCCCAGATGCTGTGAGAAGCACAATCAAGAAATTGAGGCACCACAGACAGGAAAGCACTTTCTTTTTTGGCATATGTTTACTGGCATGCCTGTATCGACTCCTTTGCAAGGGTGATGCTTCTTACTCGCTCAAGTGGCTTCTTTAAATACTTTCTGCAGTCAAATGCTCTACCCCTGAGCCATACCCCCTCTTTTAAATACTTTCTGGATTGAGGTCTTTTAAAATTGTTTTGAGTCGAGGTGTAACACGCTCAATTAAGTCCGTACGTCATACATATACACGCACAAACACACGTATACAGAGAGGGGGGGGGTGTGGGGAGCATACCCACCCAAATACGCAGCTTGGCTGGTGGACTCGGCCAGCCCCCCCTCCCTGCGCAAGTCTTTGCCCGCATCCCCAGGGGTGGAGCAGTGGGCGGGGGAGCTCTCCAGCATGAAGTTCTTGCTCCTGGATGTGCTGATGATCCGCGGCGGCAGGAGTACGTTAATGACCGTCTGCAGGAGCAGCTGCACCTCAGGCTGCTCGAGCCATGGGCTGTCTACGGGGCAGCGTTCGGAAGACGGAAGCGGAAAGAAAAGCAAGTCATGAGCTAGGCTTTGCACATCAGACCCAGAAAAGTTTAGCTCTCTTTCCAGTTCCAAACTAGAACACTCTAGAAATTTGGGTGTTTCCCCACCAAGTACAGCTTCTCCTCTGGACAGACACCGCATTCCTGATACTGGGTGTTCTCTCCATAGTCAGCACCCGAGGCTATATATTCCTAGCCAAATCTCTGCTTACCATTTCAATCTCCTTTCTCTTTTCTGCTCAAATACTCACAACGTATTGTTTCTACATTTGAGATAAGCTTTTCCTAAAAGAAAAATCCCCCAAGAAGGAAAGGTAATGAAGATCGATTGAAATGTAACAGCAGTGGCAGGGTTTAGACTAACCCGAATGGCAGGAAATTATAAAGTCCATTTACTTGTCAATTCACACCACACTGTATTTCAGTTAATACCATTTTCTTAACGGAAACAATGGTCTCCCAATTTTTGCTGTACTGAAGGACATGTCTTCTAGGAACTGGAACAGAGAAACTCTTGACCCAGGGTGGCTAAATGGAAGTGAAAGAAATGTTCTCTTTCCTAAGATAACCCTGTTTCAATCATTCGGATCGACTTCAGTGACGGCCTTCTTGGGAAAAAGAATAAGAAATAACAGCCTGACACTTAAGAAAACACAACAGGGATAAATTTCCTTTAGTTAAATTAATCAGACCTTTGCTTCCAGATCCTACTGTGAGCACAAATGGGACGAGTAGATTTAAAAGCATTCCCTCCCTTCGCTCTTGATTGGTGAATGGGGAGATCACATGGCTTAAGGGAAAATCTTCTTTTAAAGCCTGTGCAGCAATAATAGAAAAAAAAGATTAATTGACCCCCACACCCATTCGATATGTTTGTTTTTTTCACAGCACGATGGAGACGGTGACTCCCTGTTGGCTGCTCCTGGAAACTATGAGTTCAATAGCACAGCATATGAGATTCGCTCAAAACTGATACTTTACCATTTGCTTGCCATAACTGACAGTTATAGACCTAAAAAAACAGTAACATCTTGAATATTAAATGTAAAATTGTAATACTTTTGGCCTGGTACAAAAACAACTGCATATCCCCTTTCATTTGCTCCATGTGTCCACCAAAAATATTTTAGCAATAAAAGAGAAAGAAGAAAAATGAGAACTTGCCACCTGTTCCATTTGGGAGTTATTTAAAAGCCCTCTGACCTTTGCATAAGGCCTTTTTCAAACCAGAAAGGAATAGGTAATGTAGAAAGAGAGAAAGGAGCTCTGTACACAGGTTGTAAACATGGATCACTTTAGGGATCGTTTCCCTTCTGCACGGTAGCCAAAATTCTTGCTTAATTTCTTTTCTACCATCACCCATCCTCTGGATGATGGACCATCAAGCTGAGTAGTCAGATAATGGATGCGTCGTTATTTACACCAGTTGTGTATTTCCCATCAGTCACAGAACTTTCTGATGATCTACCACTCTCTAAAGTTAGGTGACACACAGAAAGAGGCAGGGGAAAGAGGCAGTTCGCACTTCTCGCCTTGGGAAACGATTGTTTTAATTTTAAGAAATAGAATAACTGGGAGATTAAAAAAAAAAAACCCACAATATTCAACCCACAATCATTCAAGTAAATTAAGATATTCAAAGCCTAGTAGTAACATTTGAAAGAATTTCATATTGCAATTCTTTCTGCAAATCATTTAAAACCAGACTCTGAATATTACCATTGTGAGCTGATTATCTGTGAGCCATTATTTTCCTAAGGTTTTGCCCACATCTGAAATGACTTCAGTGGCAGGACTACACGACTCTGCTATTTTTGAGATCTCGAGAAGAATTACAGAAGCACAACTTAGGGCCAAGCTCAGGACTGAAGCGCCAAACCTGTAAAAGTTTGGAGCCGTTTACACTTTCGTGTCACAGGTTTTGCCCAGCCTTTGCAGAAGAAGCAAAGAGAACACCATGATCTGGTGCCTCAACCAGCGACTCAATGAGCGTGACAAACAGGTAAGGCAGTCACACCTGTATCTGCAATGCTACAAGCCGGACAACAGCTGTGCTGAAGGGCAGAGGTGGTGAGAGATAAGGGCTGAGATGAAGAAGGGGTAATCCATCAGCAACACTGGAAGGTCCTACCACTCCCATCACCTGAAATACAAACAGAGCACATGACCAGCCTTGACTACTGCAATTTCATTTCAAGCAACCGTAGTAAGGGAGTCTCGTTCAAGAATCATAATGATGATAATAAAATCATAATGATAATCATAATAATTTGAAGGTTGGACATGTTACTTTCAGTCTGTTCTCGTTGCCTTCTTCAGAAGGCAGGTAATGTCTGGAGTCCGATCGAACGTGACACTGGATTCAGCCAAGGTTTTGTAGAATGTTGTTTATAGCTAACTGTGTGTATAATGAGAGATGAACCAAAAACTATGCTAATCAGGAGACTGGACATACTTACTGGTGGATTCAAAGGAAGGCAGTCCACAGTTCGTTAATGGAGCAAGAACTGACAACGATGATGGCATAGCGCTATGTGCACTGGGCATTCCAGCTATAGAGTTAGTGCTCAACTAGCTAAGCAGCAGATCCTACTTAATGAAATGCTCTCACATGACTTCTACATCGTACAAAACCTTGCGGGGACCAGACTCTAGATATTACATCAATGATAAAAAAAATTATTTTTTTTCTTCCCATAAATCCTAGACTGGCCGACTCAGAATGTCATTTTGCACTAAAAAAGAAAAAAGAGTTCTCTGTGCATTTTAAAGCCCCCCACCCCAGACTACCTCAACTTCTAGCCAATTGTGCAGTCTCCACCACCCCACTCTCCAACTGGCAGCCCTCAACTCTCAGCGCAACGGGAAGAGGCAAATTGTCAAAGTAGTGCGTGGGAAGCAGCACACCAAAATCCCATCTGTGTAGGGATGGGCCCTTCAGCTCCCCACGCACCACCTTGAAATGTACCTCACTGTTTTCAATGTCGCCTGAGCCATCTGTTTTTGTGGGTAGGTAGGGGCACAAAGTGGTTGACCTGTAAATCTTCAAGTCAGAGAAATCAATAGCAGAGTGACATTTTGCAAAGTTTCATAAGATTGCCACTTGGCTACTCACCAGATTGACACAGACATTGATCAGTGACCTAAGGTGAGGCAGGAAGGATATGATTGGCTGCCTCTGAAGTGTCAAACAAACCCCTTCAATCAAATTGCTGGCAGGCTCCCACTCAACCTGTCGCCTGGAATACAATATAGGAGCCATTAGCGGCGTGGCTCCCTTCTGGAGTCCGTCTGAAACAAGTGAACGAGACAGTGATTCTGACGCCATCTAAGACAGGACGGGTGTCTGAGACGACAAAGTGCTTCACACGGGATGAAGTTTACCCATGTTGTTCCAAAAGCACAGAGCACACTGGGAAGGGAAGAAGATACTGAAAACGTAGCAGAGGCACTCCTGCCCCACTCGACTAATGAGACAAAATCTATTGAAGAAAAAAACAGAGATGATGAATGGGTTGCATTTTAGGTTCCCTGGTGTTAGCTTTGAGAGAGGGTAGAGGACTGCAATTTTAGGAAACCCATCCTAGGAGCCATGACTCCCAACAGACCTAATCTGACCACAGGCTACATTTCTGAAATCTACTGATCGCACTGCAATTGATCTCATCAGATTTTATACCAGTATACAACTGATCAGATTTATATGGTTTAACTCCTGCCCAAACCATGACATTACAAGAAAATAGTTCATTTAAAAAGTGTTCCTTCTTGGCCTCCTAAGAAATGATATTTTTTGGGGGGGCTACTTTCTAGGGTCATATAAATGGCATAAATCTAAATCCAATTAGATGAACATGGGATTTTCTGTAATAAAAGCCAATCTAGTCTGTAATTGTCTCAGTACCAAAAAAAGCCATCCCCATGGCACCCAAATAAACAGGTTGGGTTTTACTGATATCAACACTATTTCTAATATCCTGGAAGCAATTTCTAAGCTCACATGTCCTACCAAAACAGAATATCTATAACGACAAAATAGAAATGTTCATAAATGAGGAAATACTGGTATCCTGATTATCAAGTAACCCACAAGGTAGGTTTCAGTCAACATTTCCCTTGTTGAACTGAGATCACCAGAAGAAATTAAATCGAAGGCAACCGCAAATTCTTAGGATGCACCCCCCAAAATTACCTACAATTGACCCCTCTACTGTTAGGAAGCATGATGTTCTTTACAACTGGGCTTGATTATATGACAAGTGAGTCAACCTATGGAGATGTCTGACATCTTTATGTACCAAGTTATTTAAGAAAAAGAATTTATTTTGACACAACCTTGTAAGAATTATAAGACTGGCTATTTGCCAATAGGCACAAATGTTCCATCCGGACCATTAAAAAAAAGTAGGTGTGCTATAAGGACAGACATTTCCATGCCACTGAAAAAAATAACCAATGTGTAGGCATTCGTCGTCACATTATAAAAGAATATAGGAACAAAATATCAATTACTGGAATGAAATCTTTCAATTTCTTTTTTACGCTTCCAACAACTCCTGACTGCTGCAAAAATGAACAAGAACACAGGCTAAAATCTGGAAAAGTACCAGCAAATGGAATGCTAAGCACTACAAATTCTTGGGCAAGAGTTGCATGGGTTTTGGGTTAAGTTTAAAGGGACAGAAAATGTTCTCATTAACCCAAACTTGAAATTCCTCAATTAGTAGGTTTATTAACATTTAGCCAGGTGAACCGTCTGTTCATGGGTCTCCAGATTGGACTCAGATCTCCAGGGAGTCTGATTCCGAGGCATCCTGGCATAGACAGGGAGGCTATCAGTAGGTATTTCAGGTTACTGAACAGAGATCAAAGGGTAATCATGTTAATTTTGTACCACCCTGAATTAGATGGAATGGTAAAACTTAGGTCTTTGTTATTAATCCTGGGATTTTTTTTTTTTTCCAGCTGCTATGTGGCTGCTTATTGTTAAGATTCGTCATTTCTCTAAACTGGTATCTAAAATACTATGTCAAAGCCAGTATTTTTTGAACCCTGAATTAATTTTTCTTTTCTCTTCCGTTGTTTTATTTGTAAGGCACACCCTGCCTTATTTCAAAAGAAATTGAAGGATACTCACTGAATTTCTTATGTGTGTCAGATGAGGAACATGATAGCTAAGATATGAACAGATTTTTCAAGATGAACAACATATAATTCGAAAGAATAGATTATTTCTTCAGAAGGTAGACCCTGCTACTTATACATTCAGATACTTGGTTAGCTACGCACATACACCAACAGAAAACTGTCAAGTCATCTGTTCAACTCCAGATTGCGCTGGCATCTTAAAAGATGATAAGCCCTCACTCTGAAGCTTGTAGTAGTAACAGCTGACTGAGAGGCCTCCTTACCTCAAAGTAGGCATCTTATGAATTTTGTTGAACATTCTATCCAATCTCTTTAAAATGAGGATAAGGGCTGGCCTCACTGCCTCGGCTGTCCAGTCCGTAATGGGCAGCATCTCCATGATGTAGCGCCGAAGCCCGCGGCTCTCCATCGTCTGGGTGTCGTATGGCGCCAGCTTCAGAAGGGAGTGTGCAATTTCTGCCAACCTACATGTGTTTTTTTGTTGTTGTTTAAAGAATAAGCTTAGAATGTCACAATGAGAATTTTCCCACACAGCAGCATGCTAATCACCCTCCTTCCAGCACACCAGCTCCCTGAACTAAAAACATTCTTCCCTCTGCCTTCTACCCCTCAGCTCTTCCTGTATGTACCAATATATGCTGGACACCTGCACATATATATTAACAGAGAACCACGGACTATTCCGGAGGGGAAGTGTGAATAGTAGTATCTGAAGAGGAAGCTAAAACCCAGAGAGATTAAGTCCAGGTCAAACATATCTAGAGAATACGTATACATGCATATGTATATGAGGGTATACACACAGAAATACATACCCACATACATGTACATAAAAGGTACGTATATGGGGGTGCCTGGGTGGCTCAGTGGGTTAAAGTTTCTGCCTTCGGCTCGGGTCATGATCCCAGGGTCCTGGGATAGAAACCCCACATTGGGCTCTCTGCTCAGCAGGGAGCCTGCTTCCTCCTCTCTTTCTGCCTGCCTTTCTGCCTACTTGTAATCTCTGTCTGTCAAATAAATAAATAAAATCTTTAAAAAAAAAAGGTATGTATATACACATATATGTATGCTAAAGAGAACCCAAACTATAATGTGTAACAAAATCACTAATATCAAGCGTCCAAGTAAGCTTCATGCCTTCCTAGCTCCCACCCTACCCATAGTCAGTCAAAGGCATTTTATAAAACATAGTATTGGTTTTTGTTGGAGCCGAAGGAGTTCTTCAAACTCATTTCCTTTCCTTTCCTTTGAAGTCTCTTCTCTTTTTTACTTATACATGGATCCTCCTACTCTGCTGTTTTTGTTTGTTTGTTTTTAAATAATTGACCTAATTGGATTGTCTGAATGGCTTTGGTTTGTTGTCTCTTTCTCTCAAAAAAAATTTTTTTTAAAGATTTTTATTTATTTATTTGACAGACAGAGATCACAAGTAGGCAGAGAGGCAGCCAGAGAGAGAGAGAGGAGGAAGCAGGCTCCCTGCTGAGCAGAAAGCCCGATGTGGGGCTCGATCCCAGGACCCTGAGATCATGACCTGAGCTGAAGGCAGAGACTTTAACCCACTGAGCCACTCAGGTGCCCCTCTCTTAAATATTCTAACTCAGTTCCACAAAGGGACTGCAAAATGGAAAGCACGTCCTCCAAGTGTAGCCCTGGGTCTGTCACCTGACATAGGTCCATGCTCTGTGTCCTAAGTACAGGACTCCCTGAGAGTGAACTGACTTAACAGGACTGGTTTCAGGTAAATGCAATAGTTGGTTAACTAAAAATAATGTCAAAGCTAGACATGGATGATCCACTTCCAAATAATACAAATATAATGGCATATATGGTCTTAAAAAGACAACTGGATTTAATTTTATGTGAAGGAGAAAGCATTTTATTTATTTTTCAACCAAATTTTTCGTGTTACTTAACTTCAATTTTTGTTCCATAGAGTGAACATACAGTGTTACGCTAGTTTCAGGTGTACAACAGAGTGATTCGGCAATTCTATAGATTACGCAGTGCTCATTATAAGTGCACTCTTGGTCCCCTTCACCTATTTCACCCATCCCCCACCCTCCCCTCTGGTAACCATCTGTTTGTTCTCTAGAGCTAAGAGTCTGTTATTTGGTTTGTCTCTTTTTTTTCTTTGTTCCTTTGTTCCTTTTCCTTTCCTTTCTTTTTCTTCTTCTTCTTCTTCTTCTTCTTCTTCTCTTTCACAGAGAAAGAGAGAGAAAGAGCAAGTGAGCAGGGGTGGGGAGATGCAAGAGCAGAGGGAGAGGGAGAGAAAGAATCTTAAGTAGGCTTCATGCTCAGTACTGAGCCAACTCGGGGTTTGATCTCAAAACCCTGAGATCATGACCTGAGCTGGAATCAAGAGTGGATGCTTAACTGACCGAGCCATCTAGGCACCCCACTTTGGTTTTTTTTTTTTTTTTTAATTCTCACCATAGCACATACCCTCCAAAGTGCCCACTTTGTTTCTTACATTACACATATGAGTGAAAGCTTATGGAATTTTTCTTTCTCTGACTTATTTTGCTTAGCATTATACCCTTTAGATCCATCCATGTTGTGGCAAATGGCAAGATTTCATTCTTTTTCTATGGCTGAGTAATATTCCATTATATATACCACATCATCTTTATCCATTCATCTATGGATGGATACTTGGGTTTCTTCCATATCTTGGCTATTGTAAATAATGCTGCAATAAAAAGAGGTGTGCATTCATCTTTTCAAATTAGTGTTATCATTTTCTTTGGGTAAATACCCAGTGGTGGAATTACTGGCTCACAGAGTAATATTTTCAATTTTTTGAGGAAACTTCATACTGTTTTCCACAATGACTGCACTAGTTTGTGTTCCCACAAAAAGTGGTGGGGGTTCCTTTAAGAAAAAAACATTTTAGGGGTGCCTGCCTGGCTTGGTCAAAGGAGCATGTGACTCTTGATCTCAGAATTGGGGGTTTGAGCCCCAAGGTTGGTGTAGAGAGTATTTAAAATCTTTTTTTTTTTTTTTAGATTTTTATTTGTTTATTTGACAGATCACAAGTAGGCAGAGAGGCAGGCAGAAAGAGAGAGGAGGAAGCAGGCTCCCCACTGAGCACAGAGCCCGATGCGGGGCTCGATCCCAGGACCCTGGGATCATGACCTGAGCCGAAGGCAGAGGCTTTAACCCACTGAGCCACCCAGGTGTCCCGAGAGTATTTAAAATCTTAAAAAAAAAAGCATTTAAAAATTTTATGATTCTTCCCTACCAAATACATTGAGTTGTTGCAGAATGTATAGAAGATGATATTAAGAGGCAATGTATACCCATTCATGGTAATATCTTGCTGTATGATTTGTATGCTGTATGATTTGAGCTTAATCTTTAAAAAAAAAAAAAACTCATATCCTAAAAAATATACCCAAGACTCTTATCACAGTGGCTGAAATGTCGATATTCTTTAAGGTACTGGAAATTCCTTTGAAAACAAATTAAAAAGGGTAAGTAAGCCACTCTCACCAATTATCTGAATCTTTGGCTCGAATCAGGATATGCCTAGCCAGGCATCCAAAGTATCCTACGAAGTGGAGGGAGATTCTGATGGGAAAAGGGAATAGAGAGGCCTAATGTTGCCTAGAAGAGCACTTGTACGTGACGCCATCAGGAGGCATCCATACATTGACGGTTTTCATACCTGTTACTAACAGAGAAGAGGATATTCCAGATAACAGGACATCAGAAATAAGCTTTTCTATTTTTTCTCTCCTTTTTTTTTAAGACTACTTTTCAGTAATCTCTATACCCAACATGGGGCTCGAACTCACAACCCTGAGATCAAGAGTTGCATGCTCCACTGACCAACCAGCCAGGAGTCCCAAGATTTTCTGTTTTTTGTTTGTTTGTTTGTTTTGTTTTGTTTTGTTTTTAAAGCAAATTTGCTTGGAAAAGCCCAGAAGGTATAATCCTCAATCTTAAAGTTGAAAGAGATCTTAATAGCCCTGAGGCAGTGGGGTTCCATTTGTGGAAACCCTGACTGGATCCTCTTACTTTAAAAAATTCAGCTTAAAGTAGAAATAAAGGGTATCATTTCTCAGGCCTCACCCAAGATTTAATAAATATGGCCCAAGGATTGGGCCCAGAAATCTGCATTATTTTTTTACCTTAATTTTGAAAAACTTGAACATGTATATACAAAGGTAGAGAGGCAAGTATATAATGCACCCTCATGTACCCATCACCCAGATTTAACAATGTTCAAATCATAGCCACTCCAGTTTCATTTATACCCACAATCACCCCTCCCCACTACCCTGAATTACTCTGAAGTAAATCCCAAGCATCAAATCATTTTATCAGTACATATACTTCAGTATGTGTCTCTAAGGTTAAGAACTTAAAAAAATTAACCACAATACAATTATGACAGCTAACAAGTTAAAAATAATTCCTATAAAAAGAAAGATATCCAGTCAGTTTTCAAAATTCCCACCTTATTTCATAATTCTTAAATACACTTTTCTTTAAACAGATCACAATAAAATAAGCCCCATAACATTTCAATTGATTGATATTTCTCTTAGGTCTCTTCGACTACGTAGGTACCCTTCTTCTGTTTTTTTTCCCCCCAATGTTTTTATAATTTATTTCTTGAGGAAATGGGCTGTTACGTAACATTTTCCACACTCCAGATTTTGCTGATTGAATCTCCTTGCTATCATTTAATCTATCCCATTGCTTCCGTATTTAATCAAATTGGTAGTTACACTAGGGCTTAGATTAGATTAGGTTTTGATTTCCTAGCAAGTGTATTTCATAGGTGATATGTCCTTTCACCAGGAGGCACATGATTCCTACTTGTCACTCTTCATGGTGTTAGTTGCCACTAGTGACCACTGCACACATCCATTAATTTATTAGAAGTAGCACACTAGCAATATTGTGTCATTCCTTTTCTCAGGTATTATCTATAGCATTTTACTTTTTTTTTTTTTTAAGATTTTATTTATTTATTTGTCAGAGAGAGAGAGGGAGAGAGAGCAAGCACAGGCAGACAGAATGGCAGGCAGAGGCAGAGGGAGAAGCAGGCTCCCTGATGAGCAAGGAGCCCGATGTGGGACTTGATCCCAGGACGCTGGGATCATGACCTGAGCCGAAGGCAGCTGCTTAACCAACTGAGCCACCCAGGCGTCCCTCTATAGCATTTTAATAAGGTGAAATTTCTCTTTGATTACTTCAGAAGACATAGGACAAATGCTTGAAAGGACTTACGGTTTAAGAGCCCTAGGCAATTCCAACAGGCGCTCTGGTTTAGGAATCACAGTCAAGCCACTGTTTCTCTAACACGTGGACTACTCTACAATAACTTCATCTGACTAGTGCCATGGATGGAGAATTCACCACTGCGTAAGGCTGTTCTCACCATCCGTGGAGGTCTACGCTCCAAGAAGCTCTTCTCATATTAGGTTCCCAATTCCCTCAGTTTCTTCCACCTAGCTTAATCTGGAAGCATGAATTCAACCCATCTTCTCCATGGCAACCCTTCATTATCAAGAACTAGTTATTGTCTTGTCTCCAGACTGAACATTCACATTGTCCTCCTGGAAACTGTGTGTGAATGTGCATGTCTTAAATCATTTTAAAAGCCTGTGTGTTCTTCTGTTTATCTCTTCCTCGCAAATGTGTCATGCAGAAAATTATTTAATTTTTCGGTTGTTTGAATGACAGATAAGAGCATATCTCCATGCACACATTTCTTTTTCCCTTATTATTTTACAGATAACATTGAGAAATGCCTGAGAAAGGATCAATCTATTTTAAGCATGAAAAACAGTATTTAGAACTGAATTTGAGTCATTTTATGCATTACTACCTGAATTTCTCTAATCCCTCTGGTGGTAAAAATGAATGTGCATTGAGCGTAACACAAATATTTCCTTTAATATAGTCTTTGCTGTACTAGCACATGGATAATCCCTTGGTAAAAAAATATTCCTATGGTCATTTCCCAGTGAGAACACAAGAGATTTTCCCATTGAGAGGGAGAGTTGAAGAGAAGGAGGCAGGGAGGGTAGGGAGGGAGGGAAGGGGAGAGAGGAGGAGAGATGGAGAGAGAGGGACAAAGGGAGAGTGGGTGGGAGAAGACAGAGAGAGAGAGAGAATGCGAGCGAGCTGGACTTGCAGATCTCGTTATCCTGCTATATATATGTACACACACACAGACACACACACACACACACACACACACACACACACACACACACATATACTGCTGCTTTGGCAGCTCTGGTTTGGGCAAATGAAGCATTAAATTCCCATAGCACAGAGACTCTATCTAATCAGAGATCTCTGAAGTCAACCATATATTTTGCTACTGCAGGAGTACAGACTGCCTCTTGCACTGCCTCTTGGTTCTCTGGCTTGAATCAAAGACTTCATGTAAATATCTCCTCTATCTCTTCCATTATGCCATTCCTGTTTTTATCAATCTTCTTTCCTTGAGTGATACTATCCATTCTTACAACTTTAAACAGGACCTATGTGCCCACGGTTCTTTTACATATATCCAAATGTATATTTAATTTATAAGAAAAAATCTATATAATACATTTTGGTTGGTGCAAGGTCAAAGTATATGGGCGTATCCCTACTTAGCAACATAGAATATCTCTGTTTGGCCAGAGATCATGGCAGTTCCTCTTTTTTTTTTTTTTTTTTTTTTTAAATCAAAGTCTTGTTGTGAGAAACAGCATTGATAGAGGTCACTTAGTCTGTTTCCTGGCAATAAAAATTCTGCCTCTTCTCCAATAGGCAATGAAATAATTGTGCTTTTGAAAGACAATATCTTGGCTTCAGATAGGTTGGTCTTGATGAATTGCATTATGATGTTATGCCAACTTTCAGTACTGACAGGCTTCCAGCCATGCGAAACTAACACTTTATCTACACAAGGGCGTTGTTCATTACACCACTCTTTCCTTTTAACAAACACCAACCAGGAGACATTTCTTATCTTCGTATTTTAGAAAAGTAATTTTTTATTGAACAACCAGGTGTTTTTTATCTTATTGACACTGATTTTGTAATAGGTCATTTCCTCCTCATTGCTTTGACAACTTGTAAGCTCAAAATCAAATTTATGTTCATGAATGGCATCTAATCTGATCAAATCATATAGATTTCCTGTGTTAATATCATCATAAACCTAATTATTTCCTTGCTAATTTTCCACTTTATTCTGACTCTCTAATTTGTATATTCTATCCCTTTGTTTAATTTTCTAAGTTGCCTCAACTGTTTTATAAAACGATAAATACATAGATATATACACATGATCCAGAGTACTTGCAACAATGCATTGTAGTTACTTTCTTATGTGTGCTGCTTGTGCTAGACTGTGGTCATGGGGAGACCCAGGACTTTATTTTACATTCCCAGTGTCTAGCATAGAATTTGGATCATATTCATTAGCATTAGTATCTGTTGAACTCTATTAACTCAGTGCCAGGGCACTGATGTCAGTCATTTGAACTATAGCTCATTTAACCTTTAACAGGGTCTGGCCTCTAGAGAGCGCTCCAGACCTCTCTAACTAACACTCCCCTTCCCCCAATGCCTTAAGAAGTATAGTTACAAATGGTCAAATTATAGGGCAGTTTCTAACCCGTGATCCTGATCTCCTCTCACTCTCATCCATTTTTTAGGAATCTTGTCCCTTCACTCCCTCAAAATGGCAACGGGCAGTTCTCACACTCTGACTATAGGAAAGTGATGTTGCTGTGTTCACACGATTATTTGGTTTCCCTAGCCGTCATCAGTGGGAAAGGAGGTAAGATGGACTGACTGAATGGAACACTAGGTTGCTATGGCAATAGCCTCGTCCTACTCCAAACCTTCCTACCCTTTGCCAAGGTGCTGAAATTCTCCATGTGAAATAAGCTCTTCCCCATTTCTGTATGTTGGGAGCACGAACACACACAAAGCTCTGGAGTCCTGGGTATGTGCCAACAACTCAGAATGTGAAATTAGCTGGGAGGGAAAAGAGTCCGTCTCCTCTCTACATTTATGGACTCTCATTTTCGCTTACTTAGTACTTTCTAAAATTTTCAAGGGATAATTTTAAGAAAAAAGTCAATGGCAATCAGGGAATCAGCACATTTTGTCAAATAGCAGTGTTAATCCTGAATGGCTAGAACCTCACTCTCCCTTCAGCTTTATAAGTTTACTAAACTTTTTGAGTGAATATTTTGTTACCTACGGAATTTTCCTTTCAAGGAGTTTCTATGACCTTTTACAAATTGTTACAAATTTGCATAGAACATCTAGAATGTTTCTTTTAAGAATCTGAGAATACAGACACAGACTTCATGATTTATCACAATAAGTGAGATAAGACAACACTATAGGAAGAAGGAAATATGAGTGCACAGACTAGCAAGTCTAGAGCCTCTCCCTGGTACACCAACAGTAAAACTTTTTAAACAATGACCGGCCTCGTCCAGATTTCCAGCAGGACATTTTTTGTTTGAAACACTGGAAGGTTATTATGCACAACATGTGTAAAAGGGATCAGAGGAAAGTGTGGCTCAGAGTTGAAACTAGCTCCCTTCCCTGTAGGGCTCATTACTGAGTCCCCAGGTAGTATAGGAACAGAGCAAGCCTTTGGGCAGAAAACAGTAGTGAATTTTTTTTCTTGTAAGCTGACAGAGAGGAAACACAGTTCTTGTGAAAATTTAGAATCTGGGCAGTAAATAGTACTCGGATGAAGGCTACTTTTCTAAGAATTTAGGTGACAAAATTTCCCTTTTACTCTCTTTTATTGAGGAGTAAATACATGAACTATGCTTTGCTGTCTTTGAGAGTACTCTCCCCCTGTCTATCCTGAGATCCTTTTTGACAGACTTAATATACATTTTCCTGGATGGCCCTATATGATATCCATCCAAGCCACACACACACACACACACACACACACAAATCACTCTGAGTACCCAAGTTCTTATCCTGAGAGACCTCTCTCCCCCTGACACCCACACCCCAAAACACATATCCCAACTCTGTCCACATTCAGAAGCAGGAAAAGCAGGGACGATACCTCATGTGTGACTTCACATCCAGCAACTCCAGGGCGGTAACCCGTGGCTCCCCAGCCAGATTTTGCAAGATCTTCAGCCTGGGCCCGCAGTGCTTGTAAAATTCCGTACAGATATTCAGCAGGGACTCCCGAGGCCTTCGGAACTCCTCCCGAGCAATGCGTTCATCAAGTTCCTCTCTGGGAAGGCCTTGCCCTTCCTCCAGTAAGTGAAGATTTTCCCTGGGGAATTACAAAAATTTAACCGGGGGTCTGAAAAAGTGCGTGTGTGGCCACTGTGAGAGGAGAACATCACACTGATGGAAAATGTACGATTCCTTGTATTACGTATCGTGTGCATTCATGAGGAGAACCTTGTCTACAGGGTAAAGAAAATGTGCCACCCTAGAAGAGACTGCCATCCCAAACGGCAATGGCTTTACGCGAGCCGCTTCCTGAGGATTTACCCAGAAACAATATGACATGCATTAATGAAATGAAATCTTATGGAACCATAACCCAGCTCAAAACACAATCATTACAAGACGTCAGAATTCGTACAAAATCAGGGCTTGGTCTCTCTGTACCTGATAAAGTGCAGTTTGGCGCCTTGTTCCTGGTACCTGGGAATCAGAAGAACAGTCTGCGTAACGATGAGGCAAGCACAGGGGCCCTTTGGCGGGGCTTCCTGGGGACTGTTTCTTGTGAGAAGCCCTTGGAGCTACACTGCTAAGCTCACCAACGCACATGGACTAATCCTAAAATATAAAATCTTCGTCTTTCATTTGGCCACCCCACATGCTGCCATTATGGCTGCTGTTATACCGTCCCACTGGTATAACATGTGTAGAAATACATATTATAAAAACACATACAAAGTCATGGAATGCAGCCAAATGAGGGGACTTTTGAAAAGCTTCAAAAGCGGCATGAATCCAAGTTACAGTTTTAATACCATGTGCTCTGTTTCTGGGGATCAGAGGAAGAAATACGGCAGATTTCCTTTCAGTTCTGGAAACTTACCACTTGAGGACGGATTAATAACAGGACTTTAGAAACTCTCTTTTCCTGTGTACCTTTTATTGGATAGTTGAATCTAGCCCCTGAATATCACTTACAATGTATTTGTTTTTTCTTGATATCTGAGAAATTGAGGCATGAGCTAACCATCACATCAGCTAACTTACAGTTGGGTCTGATATTTGCTTTATTTGTAATATAAATGATGAGTAGGGAATTAACTTTACATAAAGGATGATACATTCTTAAAACTGTGCTTCAGAGAGAACGGAAAATTACAAAGTTTCTCCTTAAGATTTCCCTACTAACTAATAACTCCATCCTGCGAAAAAAGAACTTTTCTCTAACTGATTTGGGGTTAACCCTCTCTTAAACCTTCCTTGGAGGAAGAAGTTAATTAAATATTTGTGTGTGTGTGTGTGTGTGTGTTAGGGTATTTAGTGGTTAACATGGACAGGATGAAGCTGTGTAAGTATTACTAGTATAGCCAGTAGTCTGAGTTACATCAAAACAGGGGGTGGTGCGGGGGAGGAAGGGGAGATTAAGTCAAGGACCATGAGAGCATCATTTGAGGACCCAAGTTAAAATTTGGATGAAATGCCTGTGGAAAATCTGCCCAGATGAAAGAAAGTTGACTCCGTATAACTGCCACGGGAATGAGAAACCGCCCCCTCGTTATTATTGCTTCATTGCCCTTTTCTTGGAGACAAATGAAACACCACTGGAATAGATCAAAGACCACCCAGGCAGCAGAAGACATCTTGCGTGTCCATGCAAACAAACCGACACTGTGCCGATTTACAAAGGTGGCTTGGATTTCCCTCTGACGGTGTTAAAAGAAGCCTTGTAACTTTAAACTCTCGCCTTCCTTTCTTTTCCTTGGAGGGTTTTGCACTCGATATTGACAATTTCAGGATTCCTTGCATTCCCAATGGTTGAGATTCGGGTTGTATGACACAGAGAGACCACAGGAGAATAAGGCCAGTGACTTACCTAGTGTTCACCCCAGACGACATGGTGTGATTGGCTGTGGTGGTTCCCTTATGACCTTGGTCACACCTGCTCATCTGTGGGGCTGTCATGGGCCTGTGATAGGGACAGGAACCGCCACAACAAAAGAAAAATAGAAGTGGAGACATTTACAAAGTCCTCAAGTGACAGAAGCTCACATAAATTTTAAATTACTCACAGAGTCTTAAAAAGAGACTGTTGTAAAAAAAAAAAAAAAAGAGAGAGAGAGAGAGAGACTGTTGTGTTGGGCTTTTCTGTCATACTTTTGCTGTTTCTGTTCTGAGAGGCACTTTAAAGGGAACATGGATTCCCGGGGGTCTATTAGCATACCATGATTTAAGTTCTTGTGCTTCTTAGTTCTGAGGTATAAACTATGACACTTCAAACCAGACATTTATGAACTTAGGCATCTAAGTCTTTATGATTCAGTGAGAGTTAAGAGCTCCTTTTTCAACTTGATAGATTACTAGGAAGTTAACTGTCCTGGACTGTAAGTGAAAGGTAAAGATGTACATAACATTTTGGCCACCTACATTGTAATCAACCACCTTATTTTTCTGAAAAACTATCAAAGAATGAAAGAACCCTTCGAGGCAAAATTATACTTAAGACTACCCAGAGAAATGAGTAAATTCGTATCTATTATAAGTCAGTAATTTAGATGCTCAGAAATAGATTTGAATCATCTCACAGATTTTATATTTGTAGGGTTTACTTTAAATCCTAGGTAATCTTTGTCTCTCTGTTGACCTCTGAGATCAATGGAAGGGATGACACAGCTTTCCAAAGCAAGTCTTGTATGAACTCTTTCAGGCTTGCTTTTATGATGCTCATTTTCTGTATGCTGGGTGTGGCTGGAAGTAAGCTTTTAATAATCACACTAGACCTTCTCTTCCTGAGCCATTGTTGTGGAAGAACTTAAAGATGGCCCTGGGACCCTACACTCCCCCTGGTATCACCCCTGTGATTATGAACTTACACTGCCGAAGGGAAATTATCAGGGTAGGTCTAATCCTACTGCACCAGCCCTTAAAAAAGCAGTTTTCTCTTGCTAGGAACAAAGAGATTTGAAGCATGAGAAGGACTCAGGGCGCCATTGTTGGCTGGAAGACAGAAGGGGCCATGTGGGAAGAAAGGCTGGTACCCTCTAAGGTAGAGAGTGGCCATGGCTGACAGGAAGGAGGCGGAAACTCAGACCTAAAGCTGCATGATGCTGGGTTCACCAAAAACCTAAATGGTGTTGGAAGTGAATTGTTTCCCCAGGGCTTTCAGATAAGAGCCCAGCTTGACCGCCATCTTAATTTCAGCCTCGTGAGACCCTGAGCAGAGAACCAGCTGAGCTTGCCCAGTTCTGGCCTATGGAAATACAAGATAATAAATGTTTGGTTTCATGCCTCTGAATTTGTGCGAATGCATTACATAACAACAGAAAACTAACATTAACACAGTAGTAATATGCTTATTTGTGTGTAACTATCAATGTTTGTTCATGAGTAAAGGAATTAGGAGAATAGAAGTGAAATGGGACTCTTCTTACTTGTAAAAATGGCAAAGCCAACCTTATTGTTGGCTGACCAATGAGGTTAGTTCTCCCTTCTGTCAAGAAAATGTTAAATACACTGCAATATTTAGAGCCACAGAATTTTAAATGTCAGTGCTCCATCCATTCCAGTCTTGGTGGAATTTTGGGTAAGTCAGTGTTGGATAAGTTAGTTGACCTATCCTGATAAAAAGAACAGATAGGAGGAAAGCACTGAGATTGTATGATGTGAGGAGAAATAACAAAGGCAGCCCTTGGGAAGAATTGGTTGGTCTTCTCTATTCTAACTGCATGAAGATGATAGTGATATAACCAGAAAGGCCCAGAAGGAAGAGTAAAAGTGGCATTTCTCCTTAGGATGTTCTTCCTTCTAGGACTTTCAGGAAACCAACATCAAAGCATTAGGAGTGGGTCGCATTGGAAGAGGCGATTTGCCATGGCTCCCTGTTTTACTTCCCATCCCCTCAGCCAGGTGCATATGGGCCCTTCAACACCGGCAGTCTGCCAAAGGCCTTTAGGCTACACTCTTGCTTGCCTAGGTTGGCAATATAGCCCATCATTAGAAACTAAACATACATTGACTTAATGAATCATAATCTCCTTCCCTCTCTCGCTTGCTGGTACATGCTAGAGAAGTCCTTCCTGGATGGAGGGATTTCAGCTAGTTCTCATTAATAGGGCAAGATGAGGCAGGAGACGGTGGTGCCTTTTGGTGGGAGTAAATCACAGACAGAATTTAGGGTAAGGATGTGGCCAAATGGGATGGAGGAGTAGAGACACCACCCAAGGAAGAAGTCATCCCCACCTCTGCTCTGGGGAACAATATCTCCTAGCTCATTTTGGATGGGAACAGAGAAAGCAAGCCAAATATCTGCCCAGCTTCCTGCCTCCTCCTCTTCCCACTCCTCTCACTCTGTCTGCCCATCCTCCCTTCCATCTCCGTCTGGCCTCTCAGCGCATTGTGCTTCTGCACCCAAGACCCATGCGACAGGGCTAACTTCTTGGTACTTTGTTTAGGGCTGAACTCTGGTGTCAATGTACCTTTCTATTCCCAAATTCCTCAGGCACCACAGAGCTTTGCCCCACAGAGGATCTGTGAATTCTAGCATTAGAATAAAATTCTGTTGTTTACCTTTGTTATGTAGTTTCTGAAACTACAGTCAAAGAAACAAACACAACTCTTTACAAACAGTAAAATAATAAAAGGCAGCTTAGTTGGAATTACAGATATTTCATGTCTCATAAAATAATATAAAAGCTAATAAAAATATGGATCACATTTTCACATTCACTCCATTAGCCCTTTTACAAAATGATTCGTTCACCACTGGGTTAAAACCGCCACGGACAGTTTTAGGTGCATGCAGATGTCTTCTTGGTATCATCACTATTATGATTATTCATTATTCAGAGTACTTAGCATTATTTATCCAAACAACCTAGGGAATGTTTGCAGGTTTAAGCCACAAAGGGCTGGGTTTGGGCAGGTGTGTGTCAATAAAGACAGGGTTTTGGGGATTTTTAGCTGCCATGTTTTTCTTCCTCTTTCTGGCAGCTACAAACCATGTGAGGCTCTGACTATTTCTGTGATGGGATTACCTGGTGAGGACCTCTACACTGTACAAAAGGGCCTGCAGGGATGTCGCCAGAGCAGCTGTGGCTGCGATCTCCTCTCGGGCCGCAGGCACCGTCTCCACTTGTGATGTCTGTCTCTTTAGCTTCTGTAGGTAACAGGGAACTAGAGCTTCCAAGACCATCAGCATCTGAAGACTTTAATCAGAAAGCCAGTCACTTGGGTTGGCTGGGTTATACTTGGGAGCAATTAACAGGCCCCTTCCCAATCTGAGGCCCCTTCCCACCCCACTCAAGCCAAGAGTTAGTAAAGCTACTGGGAAGATTGACCGACACCAATTACTTAATTGATTCACTAATTAATCGAGCACCCAGTAAAAGCTGAGGCAGTTCTGCTTGCCTTTTGGGAGAATATGTGGGGAGGGGAAAAGTAGCGAAAGGACAGCTGGTGGAGAGACCATGGAATGATTGGCAAGAGCTGTGCGCTCCGTCTAGAGAAGCTAGCGTCATGACGATCAATACAGCTGCTACTCAGGGATTTGCTAACAGTGATTTTCAGCTTAAACAAAATGTAGACAAGATAAAACCCTTCTCTGGGAGGCTGGCTTCTTAAAGGTTAAGCAGTTTTCGAGAAAAGAGTCTGTGGAAACAGCATCTGTGATGCAGGTTGGAAAATGGCTGCTTACTGGAGTGAATAATGAAAAATCTCAACAACATCTTAGTAAGAGATATATGTTAAATGTGAGTACATAGAAAACACTGAAGGTAAAAGTAAGAACAAACACCAGCCAGACTTATTATAAAGCTATAATAATTAAGACAGCATAGTATTGGTGCAAGTGATGAGGGATAGAAGCAGAAAGACGTTCACCTTTAGCCCAGAAGGCTGACCTGTACCCTGCATAGGTCCCATAGGTATCAAATACATGCTAGTTGCTACATTCTTAAAGGGTCTCATGACTGCCTATGTGTCTCAGCCATAGTTAATACCGAACTGAATGAGAAGTACCAGAGAAATCTTGCAAAAGTAGTTTTATGAGAAGTTCAAAGAAGGCATTTATGATCTAACACTCCCTGCATGTCGTCCTCCCCCTTGAGCACGAAGCGTATAACCACCAGCGTCATAGAGCAAAAAGTACAGCTCTTTCTGCCCATAGGTCCTGTCCCCTTGCTACTTAAATAAACTCACTAAGTTGTACCTTACAACATCTCAAGAATTCTTTCTTGGGGAGGGGGAAAAAAAAAAAAAAGAATTCCTTCCAGGCTGTTGTATTCTATGATCCTACAACACAAGGAGAGACAGACAGACATGTGGAACAAAATAAGGAGTCTGAAACAAATCCACAGATACTTGATTTATAACAAGAATGACCCTGCAATGCAATGGGAAATGCTAACCTTTCCATAAATGGTACTTTGTCTATCGCCTATTAGTATCTATATGGGAAAAAGAAATCTTGACTCTTACTTTACACCATACCAAAAATTGAGGGTAAAAACAACAAAGCATTTGGCAGGTACTATAAGAGGATATATTCATAAGCTTGGGTTAGCCAAGATTTCTTAAGGGACACAGAAAGCACTAAACAGTAAGGTAAATAGTTATACATTAGACTTCATTAAAATGAAGACTTCTATCCATTAAAAGATAATGTTAGGTGAGTAAAATTATAAGTCACAGAGTAAGAGATGTTATTTGAAATGCATATAACCAGCGGTGTGCAGGAGTGGACATTTAACAGGTCAAGACAGTCTACGTATGCAACTGTTTCCAACCCCATGTTCAATGATGTCAGGCTGGCATCTCATACTCAGCCATTTCTAGATATTAGCAAATTAGCAATGCTATGTATCGGGGACTCTATTCCCCCAGAGACCTGGTTATTAAATGTTTACCAGCACCCCAGTCCACATAAACTCAAAGAACTTACATCAGATTCTTTGGACAAATTCAACATATCAAATAAAATAAATACTGATAAACTCATTTAAAAATGGGTGGAAGACTTCAATAGGCACTTTGCAAAAGTAGCTATCCAAATTCCATTAAACATCTGGAGAGCTTCCAAACCTTCCAGTTTGGAAGAGGGAAATGCAAACTAAAACACACAATGAGATATCACTATCACCCAAAAAAATAGCTAAAATAAAGACTGAGTATCAAATGCTGATGAGGCAGCAGAGTACTGGGACATGCACATGCCACTGGTGGGAATGGAGATTGACACAATCAATCGAACTAGGGAGGATAATTCTTTCTTTAATTTTAATTTAACTTAACAAGATTGGACTTTGGCCTTTAGCTCACAATGACAAGAGAATTTGATTGTGAACTTGAATTCCTTTTGATTTCAGCGTGTTTGGATTTTAACTTGAGAGAGGATTTCATGTCTCACCAGAAATTTGATAATGGAAAAAATTTTTAGTTAAATCTGTGGGCTTTCTATGTCATTGGCATTTTGACATTAGAGAAGATTTGTGCATTTTACTACTGCAGTGTCTTGATATCACTTCCTCTCACTGCAGATCCTCTGAGACACTCTACTAACAATGTACTTGGACATACCTGGAATAGAAAATAGGATAGGGAGTATTTTTATACCCACAAATAGAGTGGGCTTGGAGTTAACTTGACACAGGGTTTCAATCCCTTGTCACGCCATTTACGGAGCTGTGATATTATAGGAGGAGCCCAAGGGAAGGAGGAGAAGGACCATCATTATAGACTGCAGGTTTGCTCCCTTGAGGGCCATAGCCACATTTCTGGTAGACCACAGGCTTGATATTTAATCCCCACTGATTAACACCAAAAAAGCCGGGAATCTTGGGGTTGGGGGGGTGGGTGGATATTTCTTACTCATTTTTCATGCAGAGAGAGTTCAATTAATCTGAGTCCTGGTCCCTCTTTGCCCCTTTACTCATTTTGTTCTAGGGGAGGGAAAAAGACTAATCTGAGAGAAAAACTGACAAAGATACACTGGCAAAACCAACGCCGCTGTTTTCCTTCTTTTTGCAAGAGCTGGCAACAGGGTAGAACTTCTTTCCTCCACACTGAATTTTCAAGGTGGTCCTGTTTCAAGCTTGATCTTTATACGAAAAATATGATAGCATATAACCTGCGATTTTGTTTATGAGCTAGACATTAGAAGAAAAGATCAAAGTAGATTGAGAAGTGGAGAGGGAGAGATTGCCCAATACTGATATAATTGAGGATTATATCATTAAAAGAGTTGATTAAGCCAACCTCAGGGAGCATTTAAAGGAATGTAGCTCTATTATTTTTAAGGATCTATAAGTACATAACAGGGGGCTATCCCTCATTCATCAGAATTACTGTCTCTGTCTTTAAAAGGTCTCTTTTAATAGCAAGATGAGACTGATTTCCATGTTGCATATCAGTACATAAATCAGACCAAAGCCAACGTCCTGTAACAGGGATGGCTCCTCCCATGTGACTCCTTTGTGTTCCTTACACTTGGCAAAATGACAGGCAAGATTTATATTCTGGCTCTTTCTGTGAAAGGAGTTCTTATTGCTCCATGAAAAGCATTTTCTTCAGTAATTTAATGGTTTGCCCTGGAATTTTGTTTGCTATTAATTTGTATCACATGTCAGGACAGTATTTCCTAAACAAGACTGAATATCTTAGCTGCTGCACAAATTCCAAATTTTAGGTATTTTACATTAATGAAGATCTACTATATTTTCCAGAACCTGTACTATGGTAAGTTTCCTAGATGTCGTTATTGAAAACATCCTTGCCAGAATATTACAAGATGATATTAACAAATGTAACCCTTGTGTTCGCTCACTTCTATTTTCTTAGCCATATTTACTTATCACAAGGCACAGAATAAAGGGCTGAATTACCTTCTGAATGACTCCGGAGCGTATGCCACCACAGTCACACAGAGTTTAATGGCCTCGCTTATAGAGAATGTCAGGTCTTCGTTTCCATAGCAGAAATCTGAAGGGACAGAAGGTCAAGGCGCAAAATCAGAGTGGAGTCCGCCAGGGATAAAGAAGAAATTATCACTCTTAACATTCCGGTTATATTTTATAGCCATTTCTCTGTCAGATTTTATTCCTAAACCGTGAACACGATTAATTTCTTCATCTAAAGGGACTGAAAATTCCGTTTCCCAATTTTGAATAATCAGATGAAAAATAAAAGTGCTTTTTGGGGGGTAGTTTAGAAAAAAATCTGACCTACTAGATGATATCCAAGGACATGCAGATATCTAAGACATGAGACTTTATCTTTGAATTCTCTTTTCTTCTACACATTCCATGATCATAAAAGACCATTTCAGAGAGTTACTCACCTAGAATTGTCCAGGAAAACCTAATTTTCTGAACACTGTGGCACTAGAGCAGTATAGTATCAGACACCATTTTAATACAATTTCCATGGTAGAGAATTCCATACTCTTTAGGATTTCAAGAAATTAAAAAAAAATTTTTAAAGATCTTATCTTTTTGGGGGGGGGGGGGGGGGCGCGAGCGCTTGCAGGCAGGAGTAGAGGGGGAGGGAGAGGGACAAGCAGACTGTGCAGAGTACCCAGCCCACAGCAGTGCTTGGTCCCTGGATCTCAGAGCTTGATCTCTGAGATCTCGACTCCAGCAGAAACCAAGAGTTAGATGCTTAACCTAACAGACTAAGCCAACCAGACACCCCTAAGATTTTCAAGAAATTTAAGAAAAAACAGGAGATAAGAACGATACTCATTCAAGTTATACCACTCTTCCATTTTTCTTTCTGTTTTGATTTAATATAGATTTTAAAATAGAATTATTAAAAAAAATAATTACAATCTACAAAGGGAAGGTCAGGGCAACTTTTGTTTTTACCTAATGATTTAAGAGGCTTCTCAGCTTTGACCAGCTCTAAGATGTCTAGTATGTCAGTGGTCTCTCCTTCCAGGGACTGCAGCAGGTCAAACAGGCACTGGGCTGACACGCCTTTGCTGGGTCCATTATTGGCAGCATCCTGTATGAAGAAAGGCTATTTTAGTTTATTGATTTCTGCCTTGGCATTAATGTGGTTTGATCAGGAGTTCAAATCTCACATACACCACCACTGATAACAATTACATCGATTTGGCATTCAGCTCCCAGGATCCAGCAATGCTGCTATATGATTTTTGGAATGAACACTGGGCTTTCAAGGGATGTATTAAATGTTGATCTGGTACAAAGAGATATTTGTACAAACTCCTAAAAATACAGCAATATGTAGACCTCCAGAACAATTCATGTAAATGTCTCCTCTGGTCTGCGATGGAAGGGCTCAGCATTCCCAAAGGAACTTTTGTAATGTAGGAGTTGAACACTTCAAATATGTCTGGGGAAACAGACGCTTATTTTAACAACTCTGGGCATTTTTCAGGTCTTGTTTGATAATATAACTCCCAAATGGAGAGGCTTGCCATCTCGAATCTATTTAAAATGGCTGTGATTCATTAAAACAACAAATCCCTCTTAAATTCCTACTATGTGCCATGTACAATTCTGTATACTGAGGTTATAAAAAAACAAAACCAAAAAAGGCATACAAACAAAACAACTAAAAACAAACCAAAAGCAAACAGAAAGACAGGTGAAGGTCTTGCTTTAATGGAGCTTAAATTCTATTTTGGGGTATGGTAGAGATATATATTAGTGCAACACATGCATGACATGTGATGTGGTATAAGCATTCTGAAGAAAAAGAAAAGCAGCGTGAGTGCTAGACAGTGATAGAAAGGAATGAGAATCAGGAATCTCTTCCTTTTTATTAATCGAGTATAAAAAACTGGGGAGTTGGCCTATCTATATCCTACAGGTGGAGATGAGGGTTGAAGAAAAATGAAGAGAGATAATTTATGATTCGTATCCCACTGGTTGAAGAAAGAGAGCTGAGACGCTGATTATACAAACAGACACTATAAACGAACAGGTCATATATAAAAATAGAACTCTGATCTATAACCTGTGGTAACCTGCCCAGGAAACCAAACCATTGTCCCCAGTAATCCGCCCAGGAAGCAAGCTTGCTACAAGTCAGGTTAGTAGGAAGTCAGACTACTAGCTCTACTGGAAACCAAACAATAACCCGTTCAACCATTGGCCCCCAAATGGCCACGACTTGATGACAACTGACAGATTCCCTGATCCTTCCTTGTCCCCACTTTCAACTAGACCAACAGAGAAAGACAAATATGTACCCCTAGCCAATTAAACAGGATGGCCCACATCTAGTTAGCCTGCTTACAGCTCCCCCACACCAACAGCCTCCGATCGGGGCATACCTGAAGCCTTCCCTTTTCTCCACCATAGAATTTTCTTACTCCTCTGTCTGCCTTTGAGTCTTTGCCAAGACCCAAGGGGCGAACTCCCTTGCTACAGCAGACTCTAACTAAAAGAGCCTTTGCTTTTCTCATGGGGTTGGTCTACATTTATTTCCACAGAGCTCACTTACAGGAAACTCCAGGAGAGGGGCCACACTCGCAAACAGCTGCAGCACAAACGGTTTCCGGTGTAAAATGTAGAACTGGTGGCAGGCAAATTCGATGGCTTGACGCAACTGGGGGTTACTTTCATAATCGGAGTACACCTGTGGAAAAATGCCACGTATTCAGAAAATGCCTCAACAGCATATCAGAGTTGTGTTTGCTTTTAAAATTCATAGTTATGGAGGGGCACGTGGGTGGCTTAGTCGGTTAAGTATCTGACTCCTGATTTTGGCTCAGGTCATACTCTCAGGGTCCTAAGTTCAAGCCCCGTGTCAGGCTCTGTGCTGAACATGGAGACTGCTTAAGATTCTCTTCCTCTCCCCTTCCCTGCCCTTCCCCATCCTGCCCCTCACAGTCTCTCTCTCTAAAAAAACAAAACAAAACAAAAACAAAAGACCTCATAGCTATGGGAAGCACGGAGAGAAGCGGCTAATTTAATACGCTGGTAGATGGGAGTATAACAGAGTATAACCTCTTTTGTGAGAAATTTGGTAATAAACATGAATATGTTTTTTCCTAGGGAGTTTGTCGCTAGGAACTTATCTCAAGAAAAGAATTGGACAAAGGTACAAAGGTGGATATACAGGAATTCCTATGTAATTTTGCTTACAATAGTGGAAAATTTCAAACAAATGAAACTATTCATAAATTGGGATAGGTTAAGTGACTTATGGTATATGCAAGCAACAGAATATTATGTAGCTATTAGAAGGATGCTCTAGCACTGAATGTAGCTACATGAGAAAATGCCTGTGATATTCTTAGTGTGGTGTGAGAAAAGTAGGTACCAAACTTCAACATGTGGTATGATCCAACTTTTGTTCAAAAAAAAAAAAAAAGAAAAGGCATGATAGAGTGTAAGGATTTTCAAGAAGTATGAATAAATGGTTATCTAGGAAGGAGGGTTATGCATGATCTTTGTTTTTTCCTTTAAACTTTATCTTCTGGATTTTATAACAAGCATTTATTAGTTTTGAAAATCTGTAAAAAAGTCATAAAAATAGAGAAAATTCCAACTATTTAAAAATAGGAGAGGACTGATACTAAAGGAAATTTCTTGCCCCTGTAGACTGAACAAACCCTACTTTGCACAAGCATGAATTACTTTTATAATTTAAAAAAAAATTGTTTTTAGTTATTCGACAGAGAGCTAGAGAGCACAAGTAGGCAGAGCAGCCAGCAGAGGGCGAGGGAGAAACAGGCTCCCTGTGGAGCAGGGATATGGGACTCTATCCCAGAACCCTGGGATCACGACCTGAGCCCAAGGCAGATGCTTAACCAACTGAGCCACCCAGGGGTCCCCAGCTTAATAATTTTTATTAAAACTTCCATAGAAGTAGAGGACTACGATGAGCCCCTAGGCTCTGTCTGAACTTCAGCCACTACTCCTAAACATAGCCAGATACACATTAGACCTGAGTACATGGAAATTGTTCCTGCTGAGTTAACCTCCTGCAGTCTCAGCATAGCAAGTTTAATAGCAGCAGAAATCTCGATTCAGAGATCAGAAAATCTCTCAGGAGAAACATCATCGGGACACTTGCCATACATTTGAGTAAAGAGAGCAGTGATTCCCAAACTTCTAGGGCATTAGACCCCCCTGGAGGTCTTGTAAGAGTCCAGGTGAACGGGCCCTGACTCCACAGGTCCTGCTTAAGGAGGTCTGGGGTGGGGCCCAAGGATGTGTATTTCTAACAAATTCCCAGGCAATGCTGATGCTTCTGGTTCAGTGACAGCACTTTGGGAACCCCTCAAAGAGTGGGTAGAGGAAATAGGAAAGCCTCTTCCAGGTCTGGGATACCTCAGGATAGATAGAACAGGGTATTGTGACCTTCCAGAAAATTCTGGGGAGAATTCACTTGGTGCTGTCGACTGCCATAAAAGCAGATAACTCCATCCTTTAAAAAGTCTTAGTACAGGTCTTGTTGACCTGCCGTACGGGGAGCTGGTTTTCTGGAGAGGAGGTTGAGCCACACCTGCAGCATGGTGGGCAAGATCCACTGGTAGCCGCTGAGAGAGAACAGGTGGTTGAAGTGCACAGCACTGTTGATGACGGTGGCGGCGTACTGCCGGAGCAGGGCGCTGTCTTCTGGGTGGAGGATCAGAGCCCCGTTGAACACATTGAGGAAGAGCATGATTTCATCTCCCCAGGGAAACTCGCTCGGCATGCCCAGGAACATCTCTTCCAGGAGCTGGATCCACAAGCTTTTCTGAAGAGTGTCGAGGCCGAACAGCTCCTTACCAGCTGTGAGAACATGAAATAGCAGAGACAGAATTAGCCCCACGCCAATCCTGTCGGCGTGGGAGGACGAGCCAACCGGAGGGCACTGCTGCTTCCCATTTGTTCCAACTCTGGGACGTGAAGATGTGCTGAGGAAATGCTTCCAGCACACACTGCTGCCGCTGGTCTCACACTCCCTGGTTCTCAAAGGACTTCCGTCATCACCTCTTTGATTCGACTCCGTAGGCAAGACACGGCTGGCATTTGCAGCGTGTTGCTACTGCTTCAACTGTGGCTTTGAGAAGAAAGTTAGTTGTTGCAGAAAGGAAATGGCAGGGCTGGGTCTGGTTCTAGATCTCTAAACTCCTGGACAGACTAGAGCTCTTTCTACCTTTTGCTCTGGAGCTTCTGGCTGGAGAAGACATTAAACACTGGGAGGCTAATTGTGAATATCTCAAATTAATAAGTGAGTCACCCTGCAAGGCTTCAAAGAGAGTCTCTTTCTGTCTCTCTGTCTCTATCTAACTCTCCATTCAGGTGTAACTCAGAGTAAAACAAACATGCACAGATCTCTAATGGAGAGTTCAGTGACTTTTGACAAAAATACACACTCATGTAACCAACGCACTAGTCAATATATAGACCATTTTCATCATCTCAGAAAGTTCCTAGGAGCTCCATTGCACCCCCCCAACTCAGAGGAAACCACTGTCTGTCCTGATTTCTGTACATGAGTTTTGCCTCCTGAAGTTCATATGAACACCTGATCTTCACTTAGTCAAGTAACAATACCTACTATTACCTACCCTAACAATACCATACTACTGCCTTCAACTGCTTATGGAAAGAAGATGTGGTATATAAATATATATATATATATATACACACACACACACACAATGGAATACTACTCAGCCATCAAAAAATGAAATCTTGCCATTTGCAATGACATGGTGGATGGAACTAGAGGGTATTATGCTAAGCTAAATAAGTCAATCAGAGAAAGACAATTATCATATGATCTCACTAATATGTGGAATTTACGAAACAAGACAGAGGATCATGGGGGAGGGGGGGAAATAAAACAAGACAAAACCAGATAGGAAGAAAAACCATAAGAGACTTTTAATCATAGGAAAGAACCTGAGGGTTGCTGGAGGGGACAGGGGTTGGGAGATGGAGTAACTGAGTGATAGACATTAAGGAGGGCACGTGATGTGATGAGTACAGTATTATATAAGACTGATGAATCACTGACCTCTACCTCTGAAACCAATAATACATTATATATTAATTAATTGAATTTAAATTAAAAAAACAAAAACCAAAAATCCCTGCTTATGATTAGTTAAGAACAGTGGTCTCAGTTTGATCCCTGGAATAGCAACATCGACATCACCTGGGAACTTGCTGAAATTCGAGTTCCTGGGCTCCATTACAGAGCTACTGAATCAAAAACTGGGGAGGGTGGACCCAGCAATCTTTGTTTATCAAATTCTCCAGGTGATTCTGATGCCTCAGGGCTGAGAAGCACGGGCTTAGAGAACCTTCGGCTGGTAATGATGCTCTCCAGCTGAGGACCAAACAAAGGCATAGGAAGCCCAAGAAAGAAAATGTTTTTTTTGTTTTTGTTTTTTTTTGATACCTTGTGGATCACTGAAGAGTGAAAATTCAGCGTCAATAGCACTTCGGGGGAATGAGGGTAGTCGGAGGAGGTCTTCCTGGAGCATGGAGACATGGGACTGTTTGTGGGCTGTGGGGATCTTCTGAGTCAGGGAGATGAGAAACAAAACCCGCCCGACTTCCTCCAGCTTCCGAGTGAACACCTAGCAGCAAACAAAAGCAGGAGCAGAGGAAAAGGAGAATTAGCAACCCTGAAATTAAAAGGAGTGAAGACCTTGAAGTCAAATCTTTCATGGCAAATGCGGCTGATTAAAAAAAAAAAAAAAAAAAAAAAAAAAAAAA